TTCGTTAAAATATTCCTGTACACTTCGTTAGTTTTTGTTCTTATACCACGGATATTTTGATAGTATATATCGAATTTTAACATATAAACGTGACATCTTTTCTAGGTGTCGAGACTTTGTAACACTATTTAATCAGCGCCAAAGAGTCCATATTTCGGATGAGAAGTGCTTGACTATCTTCATCCTTCCTTGTAAATATTCGCCCGTTTCGCACCCAAGTGAACTTGTATTTAAATTCTTTTGCCTTGATACGCGTGGCGGCATGCAAGGCTTTGTTTGACGGAGACAGATGCTCAGATACAAATACAGGTTTACTTGTACCAGCTAGACCAAGGTGTTGGGTGTTCAATTTGTCTTTTTTTTCTTTCTGGTTCTTCTTATTGAATATAGAGACCGAAGCAAGTATAGTATCGCGCTGTATGGGAGCTCGTAACTTCACTATCACTGCGCGTGGTTTGTCGCTATCTGTGCTCAGTTTGGCTACCCTCGTGGCGTGAAGGATGTCTTCGGCAGGTACAGGAGCTTTTACGATTTTAACAAGTTGTTCAACGACCTTGATCAGATTCTCCCGTCTGTGCTCTGGGATGCCATTTATTTGTATGTTACTGTCTCTCATATTTTGTTCAACCAAGTTCAGCCGGTTAGTCAAATCGCATCGCAATCGGTCTGGCTCAGTTCACCATTATTCCTCTTCAAGTCTTCAATCAATGTGTCTTTTTCGTGAATAGCTGACTTCAAATCTTCATACTGTTTATTGAAAAACGTAAGGGATTCGTGCATATCCTTTAACTGATCAGACACGCTTTTTACTTGCGCTGTTACAAGTTCTTTTATAACGGACAAAAGAGATCCCGAAAGTTCCTGTTTCAATATACTCCTTAACTTGGACTCTGTTATGTAATCGTTGTCACTGTTAGGCTTTTCAGGTGTACGGTTGTTACTGCTGGGGGACAACGGTTGTTTCCGATCACGCCTGTTTCGCACAGTCACATTATTCGAGTGCAGATCCGAGCCAGTAGAGCCCCGGGCTTGAGGAGGGTTACAATGCTGCGTGGGATGTATAGGTGTATTTGCGTTGCCCGTCTTGGGTTGTTTGCTGCAACATTCTGGGCATTTCCAACTGCGCTTGCAATCTGCATCTTGCGCATAAAAGCTATTGAAATGACTCAACGATATGTTAGCGCAGTTAAGGTCATATTTCATTCCACATATAGCGCATTCTAAGAACTCACGTTTATGTATAACATTGTGACAGCCGGAACATTTACCGTGGTTAGGCGCCATCAATATCTTTGATTCTATTTATTCACTTAAATATACTATAGTTTCAATCTTCCAGTAACAAGTCATTAAAAAAGTTCCAATAAAAAAAGAAACCTTTTTCTTTTGGACCTCCTTTTTTATCTTTTGATAGTTTAAGATAGAAGCTTCTTAAAATGCAAGTCCAAAAAATCACAACAAAAAAATATGTATAAGTAAAAAAAAAAAAAAATATTTTCTCCGACTGGGGTTCGATCCAACGATCACTTGAGAGTATCGGCGAAAGTCTGAACCGTTGGACCACCGGTGCTTGTTGTTGTCTTGCGAAATTATTAATCTAAAGCTTGAAACAAAGTAACAAAACCGTCCGAAGGTAGATAAAAAAATTAAGGCTCCGGTAGTAAAACACTTTATAAACACTATTTCCCACTTTTGTTACTAATTAATGTTTCCCTTAGAATCTGCACTTGTTCATCCATATACTTGCCACTTCATAGTTTAACATTTGATTGCCCCATAGGACTACGCAGTTGATTCCTCTGATTAACTTGTTATCGTTCGGTTTGGCTATTTATTATTGTCTGGGATTATTCAATGTCGATTTTGATTTTAAACGACGATCAAAACTCTTGTGACTACTACACTGGATTGCAAAACTATTGTAAGTATCTACAAATAATTTTTAAATAACAGCAAAGCTTTTGTTCGGTTAACGTTCCGTTCGTTAATCGATAAAAGGTTGCATACTGAAACAGATCTAAGAACAAGGTGGCATCATACCCAAAAACTATTTGCTGACATATGGAGTCGATGGCGTTCAGAATATTTAACACAGCTGACGGTGAGAAGTAAATGGAGAAGGCCGCAAGAAAATATAAGATTAAACGAGGTCGTCATTATCAAGGACGAAAATCTTCCTCCGGGAAAATGGAGCTTAGGTCGAGTGGTCGAGTTACATCCCGGAAGTGATGGTTATGTAAGGGTAGTAACATTAAAAACTAAAAACGGCTTAATGAAACGACCCGTTGTAAAATTAGCTATACTACCAGTAGGTACATGGAGAGCAAAAACAAGAAGACAAGAAGGAACCTACAGAAAAATCTCTTCCAACAAAAACTAACAAAAAATATAGTTTTGCTACCATCGTCACATCCCTATTATTATTCTTTATGACTTTGCAGCCCGCGCATTGTTTTTATAACGTAACTCCTATTCAAGGAAATAACAGTATTTATTTTGATCGAGTAAAAGATATGCAGTTAATAAGAGACGATTGGCGACTTGTGGTGTATTACGATACTAACCCTTATCAAGAAGGCTATACGGCACTCAATAAATATTTACAATATTTAGACACTTTATGTGTAACATTGAACAAGCGATCGCATTGCGACGGCGTCTTATTGCAGTTGCGTCACGAGGCCAGTGAACTTAAATATTATAATGATTTATTAATTACACATAATGTAAACAAACGACGTCGCCGGGGATTGATCAACGGAGTGGGATCCTTAGCAAACAGCCTCTTCGGAATATTAGATAATAATTTCGCAGAAAAGTATGAACGGGATATTCAGTTAATCAGAGAAAATGAACATCATTTGGCTTCCTTATGGAAAAACCAAACATCCATAGTCGAAGCGGAGTTTAACATACTTAAGCGTACAGAATTGGTTATGGATCAGCAACACAAGCTCATTCACAAGAAGATTAACTCATTGGAACAAGCAATCAATCAAGCAAAAACTGAGCTTCAAAACGCCTCTTTACTTAATGACTTCCTTTCAACGGCTATGATCACTAACAATATATTATTCAGTTTAAGAAATATTCAGCAAACCCTTCTTGATGCAGTTACGAATATCTATAATGGACGATTCAACTTTCATTTGATACCGCCCGATCAGCTAAAACGCGAGCTAGGAGTTATATCAGAACAGTTACCCAAAGAGTTGACGCTGCCTATCAAAAAACTTGACCGTATAACAGATATCTATAATTTACTTCAAGTCAGAGCTAGAGTCACAAGCAGATTTATTATATTTGAAATCAAGATCCCTCTCATTGGCGTAGAAATTTATGAAATTTTAAAACTTATCCCAATACCTCGCCTTATTGAGGACAACAAGGAGATATCAGTCGTGCCCGTATCAGAGTATGTCGCTGTCAATCTTAAACATGAATCCTTTATCAAAATAACAAAGATGGAACTAAATTCGTGTATTCAGAGAACCTCTCATATAACACTGTGTCACCTACAGACACCTATATTAATAATAAAAGATAATCAGAATTTCTGTGAAACTTCACCTTCACTTCGAGAGTGTAAAACTGCTCTAAGGCCATGCAGAAACAGATGGGTCCAGCTAAACAAATTAAATAATTATTTCTATTTTTGTTGCGATAAGTGCCCATTGAAAATTATATGCGCCGATCAAATTACACCGCTGCAAATAAGCAACGCCGGTTTTTTCAATATAGATCAAGGTTGCACTATTAAAACTGCTCATGCCCTTATTTATTCACATGGACAAAGTGAGGATCGGATTAGTTTGAGGTCAAGCATACCGATTCCAGAGGTCTCCCAGATAAATCACATCATTAACATTACTCTCCCTGAACCGGACGCAAACCAACAGCAAGATAACTTTGATTCTTTTAACCGTACTGCACAGCTCCAAGAGCTAGAGAGAAACATAAATAAATTGAAGAATGTGGAACCCATAACAGATACAGTGTCAACACACGATGTGCATCATTATGTAGCGATATATATTTTATTCGCTATCCTGGGCCTCGGCGCATTGCTGTGGGTCGGGAGGCGATACAGACGGAGAGCGGTGGGGCCGATGCCCACGCCGCGCCTGCGAGAGGCGCCTGCCGTTGTGTTTACTACAACGCCACCTGCGCCGGCTCCTTCAGCCAGCAGTGATCAGTGTAGTGAAGTGATTAGTAATCAGCGTAGTGCTCACAATCAAAAAGTAAATAAAAGTGTGCATGCATCTTTGAAAGGCAAAAGTGTTTTCGCTAAAAAGCCTAGTATGAGAGTGTCTGTGCGAGACGCGGGGTCGTCCCCCATAGTATTTAGACCGGAGTTTCGCGTTCCGGATGAATTTGTGGACTCCAATTAGATGTTAAAAAAAAAAATGCCAATCATCTTGTTAATCGTAATCATAATAATAACTATTGGGGTTCTCATTTATTTTAAGCAAAATTATTTCAACTTGTTAGTCTTAGTTCTCATTCAGCTTCCCATACTAATCTCATTCTTTCTTGCCCGGGAATATGTACGAGCAAGCGCGTACATTGCCGACGCAGCGTTTCTTTATTAACCTAATTTACGTATAATTCATAATTTATTTTGCATCGTTCAGTTCGCATTCCGTCATCAATCATACCACGCGTCCTCATTAGTTTAATCAGTTTATAGTAAATCAAATATATCCTAGTTTCAAAGTTATTTACAGTTTTATTATTTCATCAGTTTTATCAGTTTTTATGTTACGGGCTCCCCGTACACTGTGGTTGGTTATAACAGCTAGTTCTTTTATTGGTCTGTGGTTTTAGTGGGAAAGCAGGTTGTCCTTATCGTACTCTATAAGGGAGTGAAAAGGAGAGACTGTTGTTAAGTTAACAAATAGCAATTACGAATAGCCATGTGAATGTTTGAATTGAAATAAATGAAATGCAACATATTTGATAGATTTTTGTGTCAATAAACTTTATTATATCTATTGTAGTATCGGTGGATACCGATGACCCCACTCCGCTTCGTCGGCTCAACTTGGCACGTCTACTTCTTCTCTATGTCAGGAAATTTGAACTAACAGATCCTTCAGATGCTCTGCATTATTACTTCTTCTTGAGGTGAGTAATTTTTTTTGTTTATTTCTATAGTTCCGTACAGGCAAATGTCGCACTTAATGATATATAAGTGGTCAACAGTCACGTTAACCTGTTTTAACAGCAGATTGTCCTCATCGTTCTCTATAGGGAGTGAAAAGGAGAGACTGTGTGTTAAGTTTACAAATACGATTAGCCATGTGAATATACCAATTTTCATCCAAATCAGTTCAGTAGTTTTTGCGTGATTAAGTAACAAACACAAAAAAAAGGTGATTTCATGAATCATCTCATATTGAAGTAATTTTTTAACGTGACGACTTTGTATACAACAATAATACAAGTAGAAAAAAAACAACCCTTGCAGACAAGGCCGGATTTAGAGGTGTGGAGGCCCTGGGGCAATGAAGGAGGGGAGACCCCTAAATTGTTATTACTGTGTATGCCTTTTATTAAAATCATGCAAAGTATTTTCAATAATAAGGTTGTTAAAATAATGTAATGTATGTATTTTGTTGGTGTACCTACCATAATAAAAAATAAAATAAAATAAAATCTGGGCTGGGCCACTTATGATTTGCATCCCCCTTCCCGTGGCTAGTGAACTGTGAAAGAAAAAATATTTTCTCTGTCTCTGGGCCTGCCCTGCTTGCTGAGTTCCTGCCGGTTCTTCTCAGTCCAAGGCTTCCCGCTGTAGATTTGCGAATCAAAAGCGCAGTGACTTTCAAAAACTTGTATTAGCCTAAACTGAGTAAAGGATTTTTGTAATTGAATTATTGCCGACGCATGTGTATTCTGTGGGAACCTGAAAGACCCGAGAGCGGCGAGAACCTGGTATTGTTGCACGAAGTTGGGCGTTGGAGAGCAGATTTTTTAATTGCCTACCATTGCCGTATAAAACAAGTAGACTGCCAATCGTCTAACAAAAGTGCATCAAAAAACGACTGAGTGGTACTGTATTATACACATACGTTAACTTATACAGATAACATGAACCGAACACGTTATGTCGTGGCAGCAAGGTTCACTGTCAATAGGGGTGATGACGGACTAAATAGAATTTCGTTTACTGTACCCACAGTAAACGAAATTCTATTTAGTCCGTCAGTTAGATGATCAAAAAATAATGGACACGTATTTTTTCTTTGGGCAATTAACCAAAAAATGACAAAGTTTAGCGCGTCAAAGTTTAGGAGTAGGGGCTCGTGACATCTAAATGAAAATTGTACCAAAACGTGACGTCATGCGACTTTTTAAATCAATATATCTCTGCAATGTTTATATTATGTGAAAAAAGAAAAAATACGTGTCCAATACTTTTTTATAATCTACCTGATAAACGAAGAAAAAAAAATAGTCATCATATCGGGACAGATATTTTGTTGTATATCTACAATGTCAACGTTAAAATGTCATGAATTAGGAATAAGAGAAAACGCCAAGTTACTAGCATAATATTGTTAGTTTAAAGGGAGGTACACTTGCCTACAATACGATACTTCATGTTTTAATAGCGTGAATCTGGTGTTGTTTGCACAGTTTTTAACCGAACACTGTCATTGTGTGGCGTTGTAATCAGAGCGCGGTCGAAACACGACTGTTTGAAAATTACGCACAATAGACGCGTGAGCGTAATTTTGGCTCCGACACTTTTTTAGCGCGGCGAATAGAATTGATAATATGGGGAGCTGGCGAACAAAACGGTATAATTACGCATCTGGTCAAACTACTTTTTTTTACAGTACGGAGGTTTCGGGCCCGTTGAATTTCAAAAAAATTTCTATCAAAACCGCCTAAAACAGTGGTAATATTACTAAATACAAAATAATGCCAAAAGCTCACTGGAGGTATGTAATTCAGTTTTATACAGCTCCAGTAAAATTTAATTTTATCTAATTTTACCGTTTTGTTCGCCAGCTCCTCATATAATAATAGTCATCATCAACAACCTATCTTAGTCCACTGCTGGACATAGGCCTCTCCAAATGTACGCCACTCAGATCGATCTTGGGCTACTCGGGCTGCTAATAATAGTATTAATATTTATTTGTATTTTGTAGGAGCCTGAAAGACCCGAGCGGCAAGAACCTGTTCATGTGTTGTTGCACGGACTTGGCTTTGGAAAGCCGCGACTACGAGCTATTGTTCGGCCGCGTGGACGCCCTCACTGGTCTACATAGCCCTGGTTTGCTCGACCAGTTCAACAACCCGCATATAGACAGCAAGGTACTGTCATGGTCACTGTAAATAATGGCTCAATTACACTTGGTCGTTAGCCCGTATTCGGGTGCACGAAGGATATTATTCGAAATCGGGCACCAGAAGCAATATTTACAATGGAATACGGGCTGGAAGACAGTGTAGGGTAAACAAAACGAATCCACCCGAATACGGGCATACTCGACTACGTTTATTAACACTTAGTCGTTTAACCGAATTCCAATGGCACTCGTATCTGGGCTAACGACCAAATGTAATCGCGTACCCATAAACTTCTAATGCAGCGTTTCCACTTAGTGACAAACAAACGACTCTAATGTTTACATTTACCAAGCAAACGTTTTCTCTCTCGGTAAATGGAAACATCAGAGTGAGCGAAAAGAAAAAAAGTGATAAGACTACAAAGACTGAGTAGGCCTTAAGTCTTATGACTTTTTCTAACTTTTCCTTGCGTCTTTTTCCTTTTATCGTTTAACACCTATTTACATTTATTTAGATTGATTAATGATACATTTAGATTTTCTTTTCTCAGGTTATAGCATTGTATGTTGCTGAACAATTAGTGAACAAGGGTTTGTTTGAGGACGCCATTACGATGTATGACATTGCTGGGGTAAGTTTTTTATTACTTTTATTTATAATAACTGGCAATATGCTATGTATATTTAATTTAGTTATTATGCGAAAGCAAATTCATGTTTTAAATTTATTTCGGTTACGGTTAGTTTATCATTAGTTTTGTAATATCGCCACTGTTGAGACACAAGCCATCCATATTATCTATAATATTATGAAATAGATTCGAAATCCCGTGAAAAACTTCGAAAAGTAAAATACAATACCACATACATTTCAGTTACAATAATTGCCTCAATAATTCACTTAAATCATTAAATTATATATTATTAAATTATTATAACGTTACGTTTTACGTAAGAAATAGCAACTTGCGACCGTGAAGAGACTGAGTCGCTGATCCTGCTTTTAGTAAAAAATCGCGATTTCTCCTTCCTTCACATTGAAAGACTCAGCAGAAAGTTGCTCAACTGTAATAATGCGCACCATCGCAATTTTTGTTGAAATCCATCCATATTACATATACTTAAGCAGTGCAAACTGTAACACAAACAAAACTCTGTATAGGTCCATCATCCAGACAGCTCACAGTATGAACTTTCGAGCCAACTGCAAACTGGAGGTTTATACGATTCAATAATTGAGACCTCAACCCCATTACGCCCTTCTTCTATTGCGTCGGTATTATCGCAGCAGTGTCTCATTTCGTAGCCGTTCCAATACATAATGTACTAAACAAGATATCGCAATAACGCATCCAATATTATCGACTGATAATAACGCGCCTATGGAAGAAAGGATTAGATTAGTTTTTATAAGGCGATTCAGAACTTTATGGAGGTTGTGAAGTTAGCAGCGAGCAGAAGAATGTGCAGGTTTCAATTCAATGATGCCGACACTTCAATTGGCTATTCGTGTTTGCTATTTGTAAACTTGAAATGAGCCCCCCTAGCATAACGCGTTTTTATCACGCTCAATTATCAAATTACTATGGAGTTTGTCAGTGAGACGCGATAAAAAAACGTCATATAATGGTCATGCTACTGGGACAGCCTGTCCTTTTCATTCCCTTTATAGTATGATAAGAATAGATTGTTGTCAAGTATACAAATAGAAAATACGAATAGCCGAGTTAAGTGCCGGCATGACATTCCCCGCGCACTGATATCACCCATCATTTCGTTCATTGCGCTACGTTAATTCGTTAGCTCGAGTCGTACTATCTACCCCTGCTTGCGGAACGGATTTAACTAGCGAAATTTTGTGTGGTACGAAACTGGTAGACAGGCAGTTTACAGTTGGTGCGAACGACCGTGTTCGGATTTGTGACATTTGTATCTGCTTTACAGTAAGTCCTAAGACCCTGATCTCGTTTCTTTGACGTCAGAATCTGGAGAAAGTGTTGTACCCTTAGCACGAACCAATATCGAATTCGAATAGTTAGCGAGTGCGAAATGTCATTGTCAAATTTTGTATGAAAACTTGAACAGCAGCGCCATAACGGACGTAACAAGAGAAGATAGCCGAGTACACATTTGACAATGACATTTTGTTCTCGCAAACGTGACGAATTCGATTTTGGTTCGTGCTAAAGGTACTGAAGTTAGTCTGCGTGTTTCTCACGCAAAAGTTTGCGCTGTGATTTCTGCCGATTTTACCTGCTTTTACCGCCTTACAAAACATGGACTAAAGTTAAACCTGGACTTAAACTGATGCTGTCACTTTTGTTTGCTAAAAAGAAGAAAGAGACGACAATACTAGGTTAAAACCAAAACTTAAGTTTTATCCTTATTTTGGAATAAGGGGCTAAAGAGTCTAGTTACTTGATCGTGTATCTCTTTTCTTTGACGTCAGAATCTTGAGAAAGTGCTGGAGTTGTTCTGCGTGCTTCTCACTCAAGTGGTCAGCAGCGGTGGGGGCGGTAGTGGGGGCACTGGATCGGGACTTCGTCAACGATTGTCTCTACTGGCGGAACACGTGTCTCAGAGACTGCGGGCCGATACTAGTTCCTTACCCGCCGCGTTAATGGAGGCCTACACCAAGCTGTGCAAGCTGATGACCTTCTTCGACAGATACCACGCGGAGAATTACGACGGCGCCTTGGAGGTAAGTCTCTAATTATTCTAGGAAATTTACTGGAGTCGTCTGGTCTTTATTAGTGATTGTTGTTGCTGGTGGATTTAACGAGAAGGCACTGCTTCCCCACTAGCTGCCTTATTTGGGGAAATCACCATGTATGTGCAAGTTAATTACCTTCTTCGTCAAAATATAGGGCGTGCTCGCGCTTTGACTTCAACTATTCAAGGAGTAACTTTGAACTGTCTTGCTCGTTGCTGGCCAGTGGCTGTGCCTCTAACTGACGAGCTTTAAAAGATGCTGAGAATTAAGCCGGTGCACCAGAGGTTAGACTTGAATAATTCTAGAGAACACCTGGAGTCTTCTGGTTTTTATTAGAGGCTGGCTCTGCTAGCGGAACACCTGTCCTTCCTTACCTGTCGCGATACTGTAGGCCTATACCAAGCTGGGCAACCTGATGACCTTCTTCGACAGATACCACGCGGCGAACTACGACGGCGCGTTAGAGGTTAGACTTGTACTATTCCAGATAACGTTCTGGACTCCTCTGAATCTTTGGTGGTTCTTACTAGCGGTTGCCTCTGCTGATCGGACACGTGTCGCGGAGGGAGTAGAAAGATATTGCTCTATTACCGCAGCCTCAATAGAGGGAATCTCCGAGTGTGTGCAAGTTGAACCAACCTTCTCCATCAAATTATGATGGCGGTGTGGCTCTGGACTGTTTCACGTGCTGTTGACATTAGTTGCTGTGCATCATCAAAGAAATGAACTTTGAAAGAGACGGAGAAAGAGAGCCGGTGCGTCAGCCAGACCCTTTTTTTAAACATAACTCATTCTCAACTCTGTTTCGTGTTTTAAATATTGTTAAACATGAGCAACGTTGGTAACTTACTTAGCAATACCCATCGGGAAATATTATATGGAAAATGATACTTAAAAAAAATGATCACCTAAAAGATACAAATTGGTAACCTAAAGACGTGTTGTACAGGCATTGCGCGAGTGCGAATTGGTGCCGCTGAGCGCGAGCGAGCTAGAAGCACGCGTGGCGGGCGCGCGGCAGATGCGCGGCGAGTTGTTGCGCAGCATTCCGCCCGTGCTGCGCGCGCTGTGTGCCATCCTGCTCGCACAGCGCGCGCGCCTGCACCAACACAACAACAAGGTGCGTGTCTCACCTCACACACTACACTAGGTGTGTAGCGCGGCAGATGCGCGGCGAGTTGTTGCGCAGCATCCCGCCCGTGCTGCGCGCGCTGTGTGCCATCCTGCTCGCACAGCGCGCGCGCCTGCACCAACACAACAACAAGGTGCGTGTCTCACCTCACACACTACACTAGGTGTGTAGCGCGGCAGATGCGCGCCGAGTTGTTGCGCAGCATCCCGCCCGTGCTGCGCGCGCTGTGTGCCATCCTGCTCGCACAGCGCGCGCGCCTGCACCAACACAACAACAAGGTGCGTGTCTCACCTCACACACTACACTAGGTGTGTAGCGCGGCAGATGCGCGGCGAGTTGTTGCGCAGCATCCCGCCCGTGCTGCGCGCGCTGTGTGTTATCCTGCTCGCACAGCGCGCGCGCCTGCACCAACACAACAACAAGGTGCGTGTCTCACCTCACACACTACACTAGGTGTGTAGCGCGGCAGATGCGCGGCGAGTTGTTGCGCAGCATCCCGCCCGTGCTGCGCGCGCTGTGTGCTATCCTGCTCGCACAGCGCGCGCGCCTGCACCAACACATCAACAAGGTGCGTGTCTCACCTTACACACTACACTAGGTGTGTAGCGCGGCATTCCGCCCGTGCTGCGCGCGCTGTGTGCCATCCTGCTCGCGAGCGCGCGCCTGCACCAACACAACAACAAGGTGCGTGTCTCACCTCACACACTACACTAGGTGTGTAGCGCGGCAGATGCGCGGCGAGTTGTTGCACAACATCCCGCCCGTTGCATGCATACTCCTAATTTCCTGAATACAATCCTTACATACAAAAAAAATAAACGTGGCGCACACTATTATTATTTTTTTAGTATGGAAAAAAACGTAGGTAACATTTGATTCAGACTTATAAAACTGAAACGTCTTCGCTAGGCTCACGGAATTCCGAAACTGAATTCCTGAATAGCAAACCGTTCATGTGCGCCCTGTCTAACTCGTCTATAGTAGCGATTTTATATGGAATTTACTTACAAAAAAAATCTTCTTCCAGCAAGTCGAATGGCTTCGAGAGCAAGCAGAAGTCCTCAACACTTTTGCTGGCAACATCGCATACAGAATGCCTGGTGATACCTACAGCCAATTGGCGCAGATGCAAATACTAATGCATTAACTAATTAAGGAAAAATATAAATTTTGCTATCATTAATTAAAAGATTTTTTATTTTACTACTTCTATAAGGGTTTGACGTTTAAGGCCCAGTTCTTTATTTGTCTTTTTCAGGTTATGACCTCTTCTGAATTCTTGATTCTGAATGTATCGACCATTTATGCTTTTGACCACTCCCTTATTTGATTACCTATATTACGATGTGCAAAAACACAACACAATGTTACTGATAAAATAAAAACAACTGTAATGGCTCAATTATATTTAGCCCATATTCGGGTGCATGAAATAAATTACTCGAGTTTGGGCTCCCGAAGCAATATTAACACTGGAATACGGGCTGAATGACGGTATCAGGTAACCAAAACGAAAACTACCTGAATACGGGCGTAATCGACTCCGTTCATTTACACTTAGTCGTTTACCCGAATTCCATAGGCACTCGTGTTCGGGCTAACGAACAAGTGTATTCGCGCCATAAGACCTAATATAATAATTATCATCACATCAGTAAAATAACTTCATAGATAGACATTTTATACCTTATGAACAATTCATATTAGTGCAGATGCAGAGTCGACGTAAATCGAAGCGATTTCAATAAAAGTTACATAGGAAGTTTTTTTATGGCCTGCGCAAGTTCGACCATGTGTCTGAATTTAGGAGAAAGCTTAAGTGGCTTCCCATTAGGTTGCGTTGTGAAGAGCATCTCCTCATTCTAGATTATAACCCTCGAACTCCCCCTTACCTCAAGGAACGTTTTCAATGAGAATCTAGAAAAAGCATTTTGGATATTAAATGAATTGAACGCTTCATTTAAACGAGCGACAGTCGCCGCTACTTCAGTTGACGACTACCGTCAAAAGGTTTTGAGCGAGGGCTACCGTCGGATGCGAGTCGATCGTGTATAATATGCACCTTAAAAGGAAAACTATTACAGCTAAGTTGGATTTTCAATTTAAAATTTCGAATTCATTCCACAGTAAAGTTCATATTTAAAACATTGTTAAATGAGGAGCTGACGAACAAAACGGTATATGCATCTGGTCAAACTACATTTTTTTTAGTCCGGAGGTTTCAGGTCCATTAAATTTGAATCTCAAATATTTTTTAATCTGAACTAGTTAAAACAGTTAAAATTACTAAATTTATAGATTAAAAACCATGCCAAAAACTCACTAGTGGAATGTTATTTAGTTTTATATATAGCTCCTGTAAAATTTAATTTTATATAATTATACTGTTTTGTTGGCCAGCTCCTCAATTGTGTTAAACAGGCTGTATTTATTTTTATGGTGCTTTACATACATTTACGAACCATATAAAAAAAAACGAAACATTCTCCAATAATGATATTTTTTATTATTAGCTCTTTACAATGGGCAATAACAAAACTATATTGCGTGTGGCCCACACAGAATACATAAAACACTGCCAGTCTTTTACTAACCTATTCAGTCTTATAATGATGAAATATAAATGTTTTAAAATGTTTGATTTTATAAATTATAATAAATTCTCTCTGCAAGTTGTTTTCTGACTTCTAGGCCTGAGTAGAGGTCATTTACATTATCATCAGACATTTCTGTTGTCTCATTTAATGAATATGTTGGTTCTGTACTAATAAAAATGTCTGGATCAGATAAATTTGCTCCTATGCATAAATTATGCAGGATAGCACATGCATTGATGATCTTTGCAGCTCTCTGAGGTGTGTAATGCAATGGCCTTCGATGTAGACATTGCCATCGGCCCTTCAGTTTACCAATGCATCTATCAATACATGATTTTGTGCGTCCAAGAAAATAGTTATATTGCCATTCTGGAGACCCATGCAGTGCATGTGGTATTGGTGTCATGAGCCATCCTCGCTGAGGGTACTTATTATCAGCTGTAAAAAAAATGTACAATCTAATTGGATTTATGATAGATTAATAGTAAATATAAAATAATCAGACTTACCCACTAGCCAGCCTGTCTCTCCTTGTTTACTAATATATTCCACAAAAGGCCTTATATTCATATTATTCCAAATATAAGCATTGCTAGCTGCACCACCAAATCGACAACAGATTGCAAGTATCTTTGAATTAGCATCACTCACCTGAAAATAGCTTAATATATAAACATGAATTTTCCTTGTTTTCTAATTTTTTTTTGAATAGTTGAGGGTAGAGCCCTTTTGGATGGCTCAATATGATCCAAGAAGCTCTGATGTGAGCTTTGAAACTTGATATATTCTAACTTTGCATTTATATTGACTATTAAATGTTTGTAGGTACTTACAATAACATACTTATGACTTGTGTATAAATATAATTTCTATTTCATTAAGGTTTTTTTTTCAGACTTTCAGGTAAGAATATGAATTTCAGACCAATCTTTTGGGAATTCACTGTATGTTAACTGGCCACTTGTATAATTGCTTTATTAATGACAATACCTACCAAGTCCAAGGGGCAATCTAACTTTCTTTGGTCCATTTATCATGGGGCGATGCCCTGCCTTAAAATACCATTGCCCTACCTAAAACAACAACAACTCTGGCTATGGTCCTACTAATATCTTTCCCTAAATATATTTTACTAGTCCAGTGTGAGAAACTTACTATTTGTGCATGTATTGAATACTGCCCCTTTCTATCAAAGAATGCCTCTTCATCATCTCTAGGGCAAACTATTTCAACATAAGTGCCATCAATACATCCATAAGTTCCAGGAAAGTGATATTTTCTGTAAAACCTGTAATAAACACTAAATGAAAAAAATGTAGGTGATATTTTACAATCAAAATTTTAAGTTTGTAATAGTAAGTGATGGAAGATTAGAAAGTTACAGATTTTGTAATTTGTGGTAAAGTCAATTAATTTATATAGGTACTTGATGATATATGAATACAACTAAACTGACCCTTCCTTTATTTGTTCCCTCTGAATAGGCATAGTGGGGAATACAACATATTTATCTAGCAACATGTTAAATCCTTCAATTATTATTTTTATGACTCTACTAACAGACTTTTGGGATATGTGTAAATTGAAATCTTTGCTAACGGATTTCTGATGGGAACCATTGGCTAGAAATGAGAGTGTCACTAGCACCTGCAATAATGAAGAACACTCAAAATGAGGAATCAAAAATTCAGATATACCTAGAACATACTTTTATCTATCATATAATATTATAAAGATGCAGAGTTTGTTTGAACGCACTAATCTCTGGAACTACTGGTCTGATTTGAGTGAATTCTTTCAGTGTTGGGTAGTCCATTTATCGAGGAAGGCTATAGGCTATATTTTTTTTTTCAAAATTAGGGATCCGTAATAAAATTGCTATTTTGTAACACAAGGTGTAAAATCGAAAACCTATTTTTGCGTGCGCTGCAAAAATTATTGACAATAGAACCAAATGATGTACTACGGGTTTGTAGATCCCATTAAGACCTACAAAAAAGTCCGCGAGATCATATATCTAGCTATCATGGTTTAATCACAATAACCGACTTTGTGTTCAAAATAATTATTAAATCGTCAGAAGAAAAAAAAACTACGTTGAATATGTATCGTAATATTAAAAACACAAACAACCCTTTTCACCCCTCTACCACCCATATTTTTATGGCGATACGAAGTTCGCTGGGTCAGCTAGTATTAGATAAAATACCTTTATGGGGAATGGTATACCGTTACAGCGTTGTGTTTTTGGCACAACTGGTTCTAATATCCTTAAGATTTGATGATAAACAAATCTGTTTACGCCACAATTCGTCAATAAATACGAATCAGATAGATTAATACAGTTTGACAAGTCTTTTAGTTTTTCTCGTGATATTTTGTCTTTATAGGAACTGCCCCTCAACATTTTAATTTTTATAAGGGTATCCATTTTATGAACTAAAGAACTTAAATCTAATTTTAAATGCTGAATAGAAAACAAAATGTAAATAAACCACTTTGAAATAATAAACAAACACCCATAGACTAAGTAGAGTAGGTAGAGATGACACATCAATTATATTGATTGTATTCTCCTTCAAGGGAAGTCAAGGAATACTAATAGTCAAGGAATATCATACAACCTCGATGTAAGTTAGCGGTTTCTTCTTTTCACATTTAGAAGTATTAATTTTATTTTGAAAAGACAATAATTATTATTATCCACGCAATTCATTTACTGAATTTTAAATTGGTATTTTTCCTTTTCGGAAGACCTGAACCACAACATTGGGAGTGTAGTGAACATATAAAAAAAGGTAAATTTAAAAAATCATAAATCCCGTCTGCCTTAATACTACTTCCAATAAAAACTGAAAAGAAAAGAACAAGTCCAGAAGTCTATAAATCTGTTAAGTAAAGAACAGAACTACTTTAGCAGTCGGGACCCATTAGATATCCAAGAATTTATTATTTTTTTAAACAATGGGTCCCGACTGTTAAAGTAGCTTTGTTCAATACGTAATAAAATAGACTTCTGGACTTGCTCTTTTCTTTTCAGTTTTTATTAGAAGTAGTATATAAGCAGTCGGGTTTATGGATTTTTTAAATATACCTTTTTTATTTCACACTTTGGTTAAAATTATAAGATGGTATATACTGCAGTAAGGGAATTAATATCATATTATCTGAACAGTTGTCATCATCTGATGATGACAACTGTTCAGATAATATTTTCCTAATTTAATATTTGGTTGTATGAATTTAGTATCTATTGCTTTCTTTATAGGAAAGACAACTTTTGACATTGACGTGACTTGAATGACGTCCATTGAAGTGTTTAAAATTTCAATCAAGTTTATTTATTTACCTACTTTAAAAGTTTATGGTATTTTATGAACTAAATATTGTAAAGATTTAAAAGCGCCGTTTTTTAGAAAAAAATACTACTTAAACTACCAATGTAATGAACTTAAGAATGCGCTCTTGGTGGCTATCGCGCTCTTAGAAATATATTTTCATTTGCAGTTGCAAACAAAGAAAGAACCATTAACTTTACAATGGATAAGTCACGGTTAAGTACACATTTCACCTACTTTGCTTGTTTTATTTAAGCAAATATTTTCATTAAGGCGTGCATACTTTTTCTGTTATAAATAATATCTGTACTTTTACGTACAGTCGCCTTTGATTTTTATTCAAATAAATCAAAACAGAAAGCGCTGTAATGCATTTCACTAATTCCCTTCTCAAAGCATGGTCACGTGCATAAATTTTTTATCTATGGTTTAAAAGAATGCACAAACTACATCAGTTTTAATAAATCTCTAACTAGTTTTTGGTTTAAGGTTGTGTCAATGTTCTTCCCTGGAATCAATAGTAACCCAATACCATTTAATATAAAATATGAAAACAGTGTAACTAGTGTCAGTAGTTGTTGCATTCTGTTTAATGTTTTCACTCCAATTCTATCATTGGATAAGAAAGTATAATGTAATATTTATTTTTTCAGATTTTCCTTACTTCTCTTAGAACCAGGGGAAGTCTACTTTGAAGATTTTTCTTGTACTTTAAATGATAGAAATAATTTAAATGAAGGCAACCCAAGACATGGTTGTTTGAAACTCTGTTCCAAATCATTAGTATTTGAGCCCAGAGAATGGGCATGCCCCCTTGTGAAACTCTATTTTAGAGATTGTAATAATATCTGTATAGTGAAACCGCAGTTAAGTGATATAGTAAGCAACATCATCAGGGTAAAAATGAAACAATATGCGGAGATGCTTGAGGAAAATATATTAGCACCATATAAATTTATGTATGAGGAAAAAGAGTTTTTCATATTCTTTGATTTTGCATCTGCTGAAGAATGCTTGAGTCAAATGGAGCAACTGCAGAGAGCATCCACACTGCATGCACCAGAGCACAACAGCATGGTTGCAACCATACTTCATTCTCGATATATGCGTATGGTTTTTGACCCAGTAATGATGGACGATTTTACTGAGCAAATAATTTGTGAGTTGCAAGCTGAAAAAATATCACCACTGGTCAGGCATCAAGGAAAACTGGCAATAACACCCACTACCATTTACTTTCAGCCATTCAGCAATGTTGAGAGTGTAATAATTGTTTTAAAAACTTTTTAAATATATAATTTTAATACATTTATTAGAACGTAACTCATATAAAAACTAATACCTTGACTTGTTTCAATATTTTGGATATAGACTGTTTTGATCCATTTAAATACTTGTGATATTTTTGAATTACTAAATAGTAATAACTTTATTTCAGAGTCCCATTTTAAAATTGAAATTGCGTGATCTGAGAAGAATATACAGAAGGAGATTTTTACTAAGGCAAGTTGTATGTATCATTGTGTTTCATGTTTTTTTTGTATACATATTGTTCCTCACATACTTTATTGAAATGTAATTTGTCAATGCTTAAATGAATTTCATGGTGTAGAATAACAAATATTTTTTCATACTTGTCTATGGTATTGCTCTTGATGAGTTTTTCGAATGATATACATAGTTCCTGCACTGGACTTTTGCTATAGTTATTTTGTAATTATATGTACATATTTATATATACAATTATTGATGTTATTATTTTAAATTAAATTTTCTTAAGAATATGGTTTAGTGACTAAAGATATGTATTATATTTTAGGGTTTAGAGTTGTATAGTCTAGAAAATAGTATGGTTCCTCATATATATTTAACTTTCCAATGTGAAGGTGATAGGGAGAGAACTTATAATATCTTGGAAGAGTCACCAAATGTTAATCTAGTGAAAAGACATGCTGAAGAAATGACTATGCAATGGCAGAATGGTATTGTGTCTAACTATGACTATTTAATATACCTAAACTGGTAGGTATTTTTTTATTTATACAAGTGTCTCTTGATAAAGTGTAACTCTGGAAGGGGGTCAAACTAGACATAATTATAACTAGAACATTATTGGTGTTATTTTTATTTTTTATTATTTAATGGCCTAGTTTCACCTTTGCCACTTTGCACTTAATCTAGGAACACCCTGTATTTTCATTAACAATTGATCACCTGTAATCAAACTTTATACTATACCTGATATATAATAAAATAAAAAAAATACCAATATTAGTCAGAATACCTGGAGCTTATTTTTAATTAAATTTTTAGCCAAGCAGATAGAAGTGAGAAAGATTTAACTCAGTACCCCGTTTTTCCATGGGTGGTGGCAGATTATACATCTGAAACATTAGATTTGGACAGAATAGAGACATTTAGGGATCTTTCTAAGCCCATGGGAGCTTTAAATCCAGATCGTCTAGAGAAATTAAAAGAAAGATTTCATGAAATGAATGAGCCTAAATTCTTGTATGGATCACATTATTCAGCCCCAGGTCTTGTGCTATTTTACCTTGTAAGTAAAATAATTTTGCTTCATGTAGTAAATGTAAATATATTCGCTTGTAATATAATATCCCTGCATGTCGTCAGAATCTATAAAAATTACCTACATTTGTGCAGTATCAAAAACTTCAGGTTGCTTTATACTGTAAAACATTGATTTTGCTTCACATTAAGAACCCTTTTACACCAAAAATTCTAGGGTAAAGTGGAAATACCTATTTTTTTATTTTATAATAGGTATCTATTAGTTACTTAATTTTTTCATTAATTAATTTTACAGGTTCGAAAGTATCCACAATATATGCTATGTTTACAGAATGGTAGGTTTGATCATCCCGACAGAATGTTTAATTCCGTCAAAGACGTTTATAATAACTGTTTACGTAATATGTCGGATTTTAAGGTAATTCATTCTGTTGTATCTTTTTGACTTTGCTAGTATTTTCAATTATTAATACGTCGATGGTCATATAGAATACTATTCGTACGGTATTCGTATCGCCATCATCAAAGTTTTCAATGGAAAAAGCCAATTTGTTTTTACATCCAGTAGGGCGTTGCCAAGTTTCCATAAAACTTCACGTTGGCGATACGAATACGGATCTATCAAAGTTCGTGCTTAATTTATAGGTAAGTACTGAATTTATATAGGTATAGTACATTTTTCATTTTACAAAAGTTAATGAAAAATTATGATGTATTATTTTAACCTGTTGATATTTTATAGAGTCTTTTATACCTGCCTCAATAAAAGTGTTTGCTAATTATTTAAAGGAATTAGTACCAGAGTTTTACAATACGGACACTAAAGGCGACTTTTTAGTGAATATGTATGAGATAGATTTCGGGGAACGACACGATGGAACGAAAGTAAACGACGTAGCATTGCCTCCCTGGGCGGCGTCGCCTGAAGACTTCGTCTCAAAGCTGAGGCAGGCTTTGGAGTCTGATTATGTTTCCAGGCACCTGCACCTTTGGATAGATTTGATATTCGGATATAAACAAAGAGGCGAAGAGGCAGTGAAAGCAGATAACGGTAAGTTTGTTTATTTGGAAATTGGAAACATTTTATACTTTATTCTGAAGTGCCGAAACATCGGAAACTCGCTAAAAACAAGGTACATGGTAACAACCACGTAAATAACTTATATTCTTATAATAAAAGCCATTTTTTATTTTATTACCCGGACTTCGCTTCAATGTTAAATGTATATTTTGAACCTTTCATAACTCGTTTCTCGCAGTTTTCCATCACGTATGCTACGAAGGGGCCGTGGATCTCGAGCGTATATTGGACATGAACGATAGACACGCCCTAGAAGTTCAAATTATGGAGTTCGGTCAAGTGCCCAAACAGCTGTTCACAAAACCGCACGTCAGAAAAATTGGACATGTGATAGAGAAGACTTTAAGTTGTAACCCAGCGCCCGTCACCTCCTATAAAGTTGAATGCTTGGATGTCATAACTCTTCATAAAGAAGCGGTCACGTGCGCCTTGCGTCAGGGCCCCAGAATCATTTCTGTAGGCAAAGACGGCGCTCTAAAAGTGTACGACGTAGAACAAAAGAAGCAAATACGAAGTATAACCTTGTGTCTCACCCCATTGAGCTCGTGTGTGATGATCGATGACAATATTGTCGCTGCTGGTTCTTGGGACAATGAAATGTAAGTTTTATTTTGAACGCGTTAATGTTTTCATTCACTGCTTACTTTTTATAAAATTTCTATTTCTATGTTTTAGATACTTGTATGATGTGGAGTACGGAAGAAAAGTAGAGAGTTTTCGCGCCCACGATGATTCTGTCACCTGTTTGCTGTGGTTGGAAAATGGTATTATAAGTTAATAACAGCTATAATTTAGTGTCCATTGAAATAAGACATGGGCAGTATGTCTTATTTCAATGGACACTAAATTATAGCTAATTTATTTTTGGCAGAAGGCAGGAGAGGAACTGTAAATGTATTTCGTCGAAAATTTAGATTCGTTTATATACTGGCGCGAGTTTCTCTTTTATACAAAAGTTCATATTGTTAATATTTTTTAATCTAAATATCTGTAATAATTAACAGATTCTCATACGCGTACACAATTAAAGGCTTTCGCACCTTTATGTTGACGTTGGCCATGTGCCAACGGCGTACCTACAATACTAATCTTATTCAGTTGTCGGTTTTTTTAGAACGGCTTCTAATATCCGGCGGTGCCGACGGAGTGGTCCGTGTGTGGGGCAACGTGGGTCGCGCGGGGCAGGCGTTGCGTGGACTGCGGGCCGAGTTCGACCACGACGGGAGCGTTGCCACGCTGGCGTACAGGTGACTGTGGCCGGCCGATGTAGCTGTGGATATAGGGCGGTAGATGGCGTGGGCTGCGTGTGTTCCACCACGACTGGAGCGTTGCCACGCTGGCGTACAGGTGACTGGGCGGCCGATGTAACTGTGGATATAGGGCAGTAGATGGAGCGGGCTGGGTGTGTTCCATCACGACTGGAGCGTTGCCACGCTGGCGTACAGGTGACTGTGGCCGGCCGATGTAACTGTGGATATAGGGCAGTAGATGGCGTGGGCTGCGTGTGTTCCACCACGACTGGAGCGTTGCCACGCTGGCGTACAGGTGACTGGGCGGCCGATGTAACTGTGGATATAGGGCAGTAGATGGAGCGGGCTGGGTGTGTTCCATCACGACTGGAGCGTTGCCACGCTGGCGTACAGGTGACTGTGGCCGGCCGATGTAACTGTGGATATAGGGCGGTAGATGGCGCGGGCTGGGTGTGTTCCACCACGACTGGAGCGTTGCCACGCTGGCGTACAGGTGACTGTGGCCGGCCGATGTAGCTGTGGATATAGGGCGGTAGATGGCGCGAGCTGCTTGTTCACCACGACGGAGGCGTCACTACGCTGGCGTATAGATGACTGGTCGGCCGATGTAGCTGCGGATATAGGGCGGTGCATGGCGAGGGCTGCGAGTCTCCAAACAAATAATCTACAGAAGCAGTTTCAAGTTATTATCCACTCTTCCAGGGGCGTAATATTAACCCTAGGGCCAAGAAAGCCATGGCCCTGGGCGGCTGCAAGAGCTGCTAGGGGTGGCAGAGGCCATGGAAAGGCATTCGTCGCGAACTATATTTTAATTTGATTTACTAATTCTAGGAGGGTGTAAATCGTTATTGGCCTGGGGCGTCAGATTTCAAAATACGCACCTGTGGTCTCCCTCTGTCATTCTGACCATAGGGAATGTGTATGCCCCGGTATGAAGATTATCTTATATAATTAGGCGTTTAGTTAGAGCATCTGTAGTTATGCGGGCGGATTCAAGAATTGTAAAAAATGTTACGCTTCAGGCGCTCCGGTCAAGAGGTGGACATTATGGCGGGCACGAGCGACGGCGAGGTTTCAATATGGCGGCTGCGAACTAGACAGAGGCTAAGCGTGTCGCGCGTACACTCGGCCGCAGTTACTGCTTGCTTGGTTTTACCCGCCGCTCGTCTTCTCACCGCCAGCGAGAACTGCGATTTGTTCGTCACGGATCTTAGTGTAGCCCACACGGTATGTACACAAAAGACAATCACAGTCGGTTTTTCTTTTTTTTTCTAAGAAAATTCATATGCCATAGCGGTCATCCATAAAGTACGTCACACTAATTACGTGAATTTTTGTACCCCTCCCTCGTCCTTGTCACATTTGGTAACATTTGTGAGTGTCCCTCCCTAGTATATCGTCACATATTTTGCTATTTTGAATTTAGAAATTATTATTAATACATCAGTTCCGATATAAGTTCCGAAAATTAGCCATAAAACAAATGAAACCCCATACAGAGGGAGATCTACATAAATATAATAGTTCAAAAGTATTACATTTTGAAATGTGACGTCACGAAACTTAGGGTCTCTCCCACCCGTTGTCACATAATGTCACTTCGTCGACCCCCTCCCTCCCCCTTAACATGTGACCTATTTTATGGATTTCCCCACTTGACGTATGGCTTCATGTGTTGTAGATGTACTATGTTCTTAATTTTCACTGTTTTGATTTTACTTTTGCTTCATACTAGAATAAGATAGGAACACATTCATGTGTTACAACACATTAATATTTTTCAGTACATGAGTATTTTCAGTTTTGGCACCAAATACATATGACCAATGAATGACTCTGCAAGCTTCAGAGAGTTAGTACTATAATAAAGCAACCTCCACCTCACAGAAGACCACAGTAAAATACCACTACCTTTTGGTTCCCTCCGATTCCGTCGGCCTAGGCACGTCTTAGACTACCCAGACGACGAAATCACCCGTGCCAACGCGCTTCCGATTCCTCCCACACAGGCCACAAACACCAACACTACACAGCTAGCAAACGTGCACACTAGCTTAGCATTAGGCAGACACCGCAACCGTAGGATAAGAGTGCGAAGACCCGGTCTACACACGACACGCTATACCAGGTACAGGTACGCACCTGGGCGTTTATCCCCGCCCCCACGACAACGGCTAACTAGAGCTGAGGTCCGAGTCTCAGCGACGCCCTCTAGTTGAGCCGACCCCCTCAGGTTCGAGTGGTCTAGAGGCTCCAGACGGAGAGGAGACTCCCCCCGTGGGGAGACGCCATCCGCCTGGAATACGTCTAGAGGCACTCGCCAATTCTCGGCTTGAGGTCCCCTTAGGATCTCGCCGTTCCCAAACCCGGTGACGCTGTAAAGGTCATCTGCGACACACTCAAAAAAAAAAACCTTTTGGAATAAAATTCGACACGGCCATCAGGGTCGCGGTAGCATAATGGTCAGCGCATTCGTTGGATAGCGAAGTGTTCGGGTTCGCGTCACATCTGGTCAGCTTATAATAAAAGCATTCAGAAATAAAGTCAGGTCTATTAATATTATCTTTTTTCTATTTGTGTACAAATTTGAGACTTAATGTAATCATTTGTAAGGTCTGTTTGTGTTTTGTACGTCATTGATGGTTCACGATGGTTTATCCAGGTTTATGAGACTCGCCTTCCATCAGCGGCGCACTGCTGTCATTGGGACGGGCGTGCAGTGGTGTGGCTGGGTTGTGACGGCGCGCTACTGCAGTGGGATATGTTAGCCGTCGCTCATACCGACCATCACTGCGCACACCAAGGTTAGAGTGCAATCCAAATTTATTGGCGGCTGTGAAGTTAGCGCAGGTCGTGTCACAATAAACGAAATGTGGGAAAATGTGGGTGCGCAGGGGGTCGATATTGAACTGAAATTAGTTGCGCATAGTTGCGCTCGTTGCTAACTTCGCAACCGCCATTCAAGTTTGATCGTACTATAGGTACCACCACCTATTTTTTTTCAATATTTATTTATTTATTTATTTATTTATAGGTACATCAACAGCATAACATACAAGACATTCGTAATATATAGAGGATAATTTTACTGTTTACATATGTTTGCCAATTATAGATATACACAACATTTATACCATATCGTTTAACATTAATTAAAATGAAAGGAGAACAAGAACATTATCTTTAACAAATGCTGCTATTATTGATTTATTAAGGTTATTTTTATTAAGAACACACAAAAAAAAATTGTTAACTACGTCGAATACACACTGGGAGGCTGAAAGTGATGCAATAGTTTGTTTCTGAAAGTTCGAGTAGAATCGTTGAAAATGTCAATACCGGGTACCTTCATTAACAATTCGTTATACGCGTTGCATATCCTAGCTATGGGATAATGAATACCCAAGTTTGTTTTGTGACTTGGTATATTAAACATTTTGCGTACTTTATAGCGCGGGTATCTACAGGGTACCGCAATTCCAATCTCACCAAGAAGATGAATACTGTTGATGTCATTATTAAGAATTTTATGTAGAAACAGTAAATCCGCTATCGTACGTCGATTTTTTAATGATGTAACTTGGAAAAAATCAAGTCTCTCCTTGTATGGATGCCTGTGGGATATACCAGGTGTCAAAAAGGCAATATAACGAGTAAACGCTCGCTGTATAGATTCAATTCGTTGGGATGGCGCCGCGTATACGGGATTCCAAACCACGCTTGCAAACTCGAGATGACTACGCACAAGGGTATTAAAGAGTACTGTCTTAGTTTTTACATTGCGAAATTCTTTTGCATTTCTTTTTAGAAAACCCAACATACGAGCGGCGTTATTCACTAGATTATTTATATGTGCCGCAAAATTCAATTTATTGTCCAGCTTAACACCTAAGTCTTTGACCTCCGTGACCCTTGCCAAAGTTACGCCGGACAATGTGTATTTGGTATCAATAGGAAATCTCTTTCTAGTGAAACTGATGGAGCAGCATTTTGAGGGGTTTAGTAACATTCCGTTTTTATGGCACCAGACAGATATATTGTACAAATCTGATTGTAGGAGACGAGCATCTTCCGTGGATTCGATACATTTATAAATTTTAATATCATCTGCGAATATGGACAAACTGCTATAATTTATCACGGTTGCAATATCGTTGATAAATATTAGAAATAAGAGAAAATGTTGAAAAGATAATGCATGACGCAAACATTGCCATCGGGGCAATCCTCCTTTATAACTTATTTTGTCTTCAAACTTCACGATGCATCACATACCTACCGCTGAAAAAGAGGAAGACCTCCGTGGCCGAATGGTTTTTATGCCAGGTTTCATGGTGTCACCGACTCGAGAGGGTTCGAATCCCGGTGGGGGCAGATGTTTGTATACGAGCATTTGTACTCCGGTCATAGATGTTTAATATGTAGTTCTATATAAATATACTTATATATGTACAATATATGTATTCTATCCGTTACCCTTGTGTGTTGGAAATATTTATTATTTATTGACGGTTGAGTCTTAGTGAAAAATATCCGTTATTATCACTCTTTGGATACAGTAAACTTAAAATATAGTTGTTCTAGATTGAACTTGAAAGTGTCACTGATTCTTTTAATAATCGATCGAAACTCAACTTCGCAGATTAGATTAATAGTGTGCCTTAGTGTTTTTTTTTATACCTTATTTTTTTGTCTGTGCCTCTGTATTTCTATGTCGCAGATAAACTATCTGAAAGTTTTACAAGGGACTCGTGGAACTGTCACTGATTGTTGGTCATGACCAAATGGTGTTCTAAAAAAGTTTAAATTTATTTTTTCAGGTACAGTGACTAGCATTTACTTAGACGAAGCAACTAATACTTTGATCACAGCTAGCCACGATAAGACAGTGAAGTTGTGGCAACTTACGCCGAATTCCTGACGAAATCACCTTTTTACTATCCGTTATACAGTATTACAAAAATGATTTTATTGTTAGTAGTAATAGATTTTATTATTGATCAAGAATTGTGATAATTTAACTGTAATAACAAGTGTTTTTTAAATATTTATGTCAAAACCTATTGACAATAAAATCTAAGTTAAGTAGTAATTATTTATATTTCGTCGTTCGTCTTATTTATAAACGAGAAGCATGCTTAGACTAGTTACGCCGTGTTTTGTTCATATCACTCAAGTGAACAGAGACAAAACATGGAGTAACTAATCCAAGTTTATTCTGAGTTTATTTATAAGTGCCTCGCAATCGCTTCGTTTCAGTATGGACTGTAGTTTTGGTTTTTTGAACTTGCCCGAGACATACATATTCAAGTTGAAGGACCGCTAAAGAAGTAAGCACCATGATATTATTGTAATTATTGCTAGGTTGCTATGTATTTATATTCTTACTTGTATTATTCGTAAAACCTTCTATTTGGAGCCTTTACTAAACACGTTTCCCCGAATTGAAGATGTTTGGGTCCAACTAGAAGTTTTGATGAAGTTAAAGGGACGACAAACACATGTTAGTATTTCTGAGAATCCTGTTTTATTTTTAATTCATTTTATTTTCAATATTTTAGAATTAGTAGTCTCGCGGAAACAGTTGTATCTGTGATTAAAATACATAAGTAACTTACCACCTCGTATTATTAAAGCGATTAATACGCTTTATTTGTTCTTTATTGGAACATGTTATTGTAAAAGGACAATGTATTTGATAGCAATATTATGAAGGTAAGAGACCAGAGGAGCTCGATGGCGCAAGTCGATAGCGCGTTCGGCTGCGATCGTTGAAGTTAGCAACTTTCGCAGTGGTCGGTCATTGGATGGGTGACCAAAAATTTACTATCTCGAGCTCCTCCGTGCTACGGAAGGCACGTTAAGCCGTTGGTTCCGGCTACATCTGCAGTTGTTAGCATCCACCAATCCGCACTGGGCCCGCATGGTGAGTCATGGCCCAAACTCCCTATTCCATCCATAGGAAAGGCCTGTGCCCCAGCAGTGGGGACATAAATAGGCTGATGATGATGAATTAGCGTGAAAAACACATTAGCGTCTTTCGAGCGCCGTCGTCGTGTTGCGTCCGCACCGCGCAACGTCGACGCGAAGGTGACGTGACGCTAGCGCTGGACAGTTGCCGAACCCGGACTTAGTGCCTGTCCATATCTCAACGTCACGACGTCGTCAACTTGGAACGGTGCGGTAACGTTGCACGGTACGTTGACATCTATAATATAAAAATAAATAGCTGAATGTTTTGCTAAGCGCAAATCTCGAGAACAGCTGAACCGATTTCGATAGTTCTTTTTTCAGAATATTCCTTAAAGTACGAGGATGGTTCTTACGCAGATAAAAAAAAATGCCTTAAAAGTCCAAAAACAACACTTTTCTATACTCCCATACAAAAGATTCGTAATAATACTTATCAGTCAATTTGAACTTTAATACCATACCACTTAAATGTTATTGGAGAGGTTCCGTCCGGGAAGGCAAAACAATTGAGTGACGTAATGTCAATAGAAGTTTGGAAAAGGCAAATGTACCATTTTCAGTTTTTTTTTTTTATAATTATAGGAAGAGTCATTTTAGTCTACACTACAGCTCTACATCGAAGCGAAGTGAGGGCGGGCCGCTAACTTATTAAACCTGATCGGAAAGGACGATGGGCTAAGAACACCCAGCTCCGCCTACAATGAAATTAGTATGAATCAAAAGATCTATTACACCGTAAAAAAACCTGGTAATCTAAAGATATATTTGTAATTTTGGCAATAATGTGCCGCACTTCTCACGGACCCCGTTTTCGTCCTCCCCCACACCTTTTACCATGCAAGCGAGGACTCAGTTAAGCGGTCTACCTATAGTTACATTCAGTTAAATGGGAATTTATACTAAATAACTTTAATGGTTTGGGCTAATTGTCGAACAAAAGTATCATGCACAAATAAAAGTACATGTGGGTAGTTGTCACAGTGTTACCAGAAAGCCATTTCACTTTCCCCCCAAAACTTACCCGAAATCCCCCCAAAATACAGGATTTTAAAGCAAAAACCCCCCGAAATTATATAAATATTTATTAAATATAAACTATGTATTTCTGCAATGGCATTAATTACTAGATCAACATCTTCGCACTCTTTGTCATTCCCACTCCTTTCTTAAGCCTGAAACATATTAACGTGTCGTGGCGTGTCGTGACGTGTCGTGACGCATCGGTTTATACATTTATTATGGGTTAGAGAGAGAGAGAGAGGTTAGAGCGTCGACACGACACGACACATAAATATGTCTCAAACCATAGTAAATGTATGAAAACGATAAGCTTCAGGCGCGCCACGACACGACACATTAATATGTTTCTAGCTTTAATCTTGTTACATAACTTTGTTTTGATAGTGCAGTTCTATTATCTTACCAAGGTGCAAACAATTAAAAGGACAAATTACGATTTAGCGGAGCAAAGATGATAGATAATGTCGAATCGATTTGCAGTTTAAGCTAATGATCATTAACGAGTGACTGACTTGCTTGACTTGACTGACCGAGCGACTTAGCTAGACGAAATGGACCGAAAAGTACTTTTTAAGTGGGCTTTGGACTTAGCGGTCCGAATCGGGCTCGCTGAATGAACACAGTTCAGTGGGCCCGATTCTGGCATGATTTTCTAAACCTAATAAAATTAATTTTGATAACAATCTAGACCCTTGTCATGCTCTATACAGAATGAGAAAGAGAGCCTGTTGATTGACTGTTGGTCGCGATTTTTTACAGATTAAAAGTTTATGAAGTGGTATGATTTTTATATAAAAAATGGAATTAAAAACCCCCATTTCCCCCAAATCCAAATTTCTTCCCTCCATGAATCCCCCCACAAATTTTCGAATGTTAGGCTCTCCTTCGTGTTAGTCCACGGCCCGTCGCTTGCGCCCGCCAAGTACACTGATACCACACGGAGTTGACAAATACTGGATGTGGCTCAATAAAGTAACTATTATTAGAATAGTTAAGTAATTCACACAAAATGACGGCGGCGTTTACGCGACGACCACTTGATGTTCACTGGTTGACAAAGGTTACTATTACAGTAGTTCAGTAATTTACCCAAATGACGGCGGCAGCGTTTATCCGTCAACCACCTGATGTTCACTGGTTGACAAAGATTACTATTACAGTAGTTAATTAGGTAATTTTCACAAAACTACGGCAGCGGCGTTTACCCGTCGACCACCTGATGTTCACTGGTTGACAGAGATTACTAGCTCAATGTGGTTGACAATGGGGCGTCCACCAGTTGCCCACCCCACGTTCGCTGTTTGGCAACGTCCACCTGAGTATGCTCATCGACCACGAGTTTAAGTCGCGCGACGAGGCAGGGTGCCGGGTCATAGCTTCTCGCTAAGGCAAGTCTCGCTAAAATGTTTTTGACTAGGTAGGTTAAGTAAAGATTAGGCCAAACAAATTTAATTTGAAATGTAATTACATGAAAAAGTATTAAATATTAGATTAAATTACTTAAGCCTAGATTATTCTTGTTTCTCCTATCGACCGTGGGACGAACCAGTTTAGACTAGTCTGTACCGGTTTATCCTAACGTCTAAAGGAATAACTGGTTTAGCCTAGATGCATTTTTTGAGCAAATGTGTTTTGTTTGTTATTGAAGATGCTAAAAGATTGTGTAATAGGTATATGTAGGTACTAACGTTGTGTAAAACTAATAAAATCTCGAAAGTTTTCATTTTTTCCCATTGGAAAATATAACATAATAACTTGCTTGTACAAAAAAAATTCCGTTTGTTAAATATTAAGCTGTTATGTGCAAATTATTGATAGACAGAGTCAAGTGTGTGCTTATTTGAAAAAAATACAGAAGAAAACTATCACAGTTATCTAAGCTTTACAATCATTTAATTGGTTATTAATCGTATAACTAAAAATTACCTTAACATTGTAAATTACATTTGTTCTTTGTGTAAAACAAGTAGTTCGTAAATATAAATTAATGAACCATAAAAAAATAATCAAATTATCCTCAATAATAATAGTTTCTTAACCCACCAATCCGCACTGATCCCACGTGGTGGGTGATAGCCCAATCTCCCAATTCTATCCATAGGGAAGGCCTGTATTAATGTGCGCACGTAGTCACAGTAGGTAATGGTGATATAAAATATTGACCCGGTGAAGTTTCTACCAACTTTTTTTTTGGTCAGTGTTCTAAAAGTTTCCCTTATATAAACCTTGTCCTGACAATAACGAAAGTAACAAAAGAAACCGGCCAAGTGCGCGGCGCGTAGCGTAGGGTTTCGTAGTTACCACAATATATTTCAGGAGTTTATTTTCATTATTCGGTATATTTTCTATATTAATATTATAAAACTGCAGAGTTTGTTTGGTTGGTGGAAGGCTATATAACAACACACTACGACTAGTAGGAGCGGAGATTCAATGAAAACTGCTGCGAAAACGGGGGAAAAATATGTACTTATTCCATTTGAGAGTTTCCGTTGCATGTGCTGCGTAAATGGTTAAAGTTACACAAAAATCATGGATAACGGAATTTTTGCCCTTTAAAAGTGCTATAAAAAAGTCCGCGACAGCATATGTCCATCTCTTCAGTTTGACTCATTATAACCTTTTTCCTCAAATTAATCGACTTAAGCGACACGAAGTTCGCCGGTATAAAGGGCGTCCCACGGGTTTGTCACACGGAGGGAAAGTATATATATTATATTATATTGAAGAAAGGATATTTTACTGAAAGAAGACATCATATTATTTTTAATAATAACCAGAACTACATTCACAGATTTTCATAAAATTGCCTGCTACATATGGGAATCACACTCGTGAAATTAAAAAAAAATAACACGCATGACGTATTTTATGATAACCATCGAAAGGGAAAAATCATAAGGATTATTTTTTACTAAATAACATAGCATTTAAAATGAAAGGAAGATCATGAAATTAAAATTTTGTTCAGGAAAATTTCCTATTACTTTTCCGTGCTTTCAACAGCTAATGTTATCATTTCAAAGTATTTACTGACTAGTATTACTTATAGTATGTACTTGCTCACTTAATAATACAGGATTTCCTTACTATTAGTACGTGAAAAACAAATAAAGCGATACTTATACAAACCAAGCACCGTTTCTTATTTTTTTGTTATAATTTGTGTTCAATTATTAAAAAAAAACGAGCGAGCCTTACAGTAGTCGTGTATGATGTGTAGCATTTGAAACCTCACCTTATATGTATGAGTAAAAAAAGAAATAAAACCTACTGCAAAAGGAATAAGCCATTTGAACATTATGGTCTAAAATCAAATCAAATAGCGCGCGCTTTCGCGACTTCCTATTACACACTTCTGTCCCATTTCACGAAATCACTTCCACAAATTCCCTCCCTTCCTTCACAGGAAAGCGAGAGGAAAGATGTTACACATAAAAAAAAGACAAATTTCGTGATTTTGCATTGGGATCGTACTAACTATGTGACACCTGATTTATTAAAATCGGTTCACTAGTTTGGTACCTTCATAGTGGAACTATGATAGAAGATGTAACGTACAGAAATACTGCTAAAATCAACCTGCATTTGGTTTTGCAGCCAACGATCAACGATATTAAATACCCTAGATATACCACGAGCGCTGAAAATGTGTCCCAATCAAGAAGTGCTTGAACTCCACTTAAGCACTTCTTGGTTCACAGTCTCACGCGCGGATCATTGAAAAGTAAAGATGCCATAGAGCTCCGTGAAAAAATGCGAATAAAATATTAATAGTACGTAAAGTGTCGGTTTTTTCGACAGGTATCTAATCAATGTTTCTTAATTTAACGCATCTAAAGCAAATTTTGTTCTTATATTTACTATAAACTGATTTAGTATAAAATATTTGAGATATTCAAATGCACGGTCGGTTATACGTCGCCGTATAGCCGTCTCTTTTCCTCGCGGTCCGTACCTGCTATATTGCTAACAGCGCATTCAGAATGAGGGCTATCGTTTTTTGTCTCACCAGATGGCGCCACTGTTGAGTGAGGTCCTGAAGTGTAACTTTTAAAGTTAGTAAACACGCTCGTGATATCAAAGTTTACATTTTAATACAAAAGAATCGTATCTTAAACATAATCGCCCATGCCACAGTGTTGCGCTGTCCCGTTTTGTTCGGAAAAAAGAAGGACAATATTTTTTCTTAGCTCCGCTTTTAAATAACTGACAATCATTGACACGTAACTCATATTTGCCATAATAAGTCTGATTTATTACCAAATATTCACAACTATTATTTTAATTAGAAAAAAACCGCGTAGTCAACCCGCAAGCTATACCATTTGACATTTCGGAGACCTCACGCAACACAAGCGCCTCTAGCGGCGGTTTCAGACGCGATAGCCCTCATTGCGCGTTAAGTCAAAATCATATCACACTAATATTATAAAGGCGAAAGTTTGTGAGTGTGTGAGTGTGTATGTTTGTTACTTCTTCACGTCTAAACGGCTGGAGCGATTTTAATAAAATTTGGTATGGAGTTAGCTGACACCCTAGATTAACACATAGGCTACTTTTATCCAGAAAAAATGTTAGGTTCCAAAGGGATTTTCAAGAAACTAAGTTAACGCAGACGAAGTCGCGGGCGACCTCTAGTGGTCTATATATAGCAATAAGTCACTCAGTCGTAAAAATTTACCTTATAGAGTATGCATTAAAGGTGACTTTCAATCTTTAAACAATGCCTTATATTGTTTTTGAACTCGCGATCATCTTACGGAGCACCGTGGATCGTCCAATGTACCTTTTGGACACGTTTCGGCCACGATTTTGTTCGTGTTGTTGTATCTAGAGTATTTAATATCGTTGCCAACGATATTAAAATCCTAAAAAGTATCCTATAAAGTAATCCTATAAAGTAAAATGCGGCGGATTCGTACCCAAAGGGTAAAAACGGAACCTTGTTACTAAGTCTGTCTGTCTATCACCAGGCTGTATCTTATGAACCGCGATAGCTAGTGCTGAAATTTTGACAGATAATGTATATCTGTTGCCCCTATACCAACAAATATTAAAACAGAAAATATAATATTTACATTCAGGATACATCATACGATCTTAAAACACATTTACTACATATGCAAAGCTTGTCATAGAATCTACGACTCACTTTATAGTTTTGCACATCACGTAATCAGGCTTGCGGCTTCTCAAAGCGTAGCATTGAGAACCTTCTCTTTTTTGAAGTCGGTTAAAATTTTATACCAACTTGTAGAACAAAGATCAAACCTTTAAAAATAAGTTAATTTATATTAAGAATTAAATTCTTGGTCAAAATAATCATAATAAAAAAACATTAAAGTCCCAATCAATATAATTAAAAATTTAATAACATGATAATTCATTATGACGACAACAAGTAAATCATCTACACAATAACAGACTCTACCATAGTTTTTTTAATTAATTCTCCAAAATTTTCTGTGGTCTCCGTTAAATTGCTTTCAGTTTGCTGGTCCGTGGGCTGTGGAGGCAAGTCCGAGGCATCTTGCGTAACGTGGTCAGCGTGGTCCAAGCTCAACAGGGTGTTGTGACTGAACCAGTTCTCATCGTTCTCTACTGACTGTAACTTATTGCTACTTTGATATGGCAACGACATCAGAGTGGAATATTGCGATTCACCTTTGTTTTCACCGTCCACACACTCTGAAGGATTATTTTTGTACACTTCATATTGATTTTGAGGCATATTGTGGTATTGCAGGGAGTTGTGATCGTTTACATTAGTGTTTGACTTATGTAAGTAATGCGGCACATACATGTGACCGTAATGACTGAACATATTTATTTGGGAATTGTGCGCGAATTCTTCAAAACTTGTTGCAGAGAAGCTCTGTAAACCTTTGAAATGATGATTTTCATTATGATGATCGTAAGTATAATTGAGATCACAGGGGAATCTTTGCATGTTGTTTGGCATTGATTCATAAGCCATTGTGTTAGCTACAGAGTAAGGTGGACCTTTACCTTGGAGAATATTCGAAGTGTATGGATCAGCGAGGTTATGATGAGTGTTTACATTTTGATAATGCATATTATTTTCATTTATATTTCTATTGTTCACTGCATCATTTCGGTATCCATAAGTCATATCTCCCTGCATGTTATTGAGATTAACATTTGTATTTATGTCACAATGAACGTTGTTGAAATTTCCAGCATTAACACACGATTCAACTTCTACTCTCGGACTTAAACTGACATCACGCAATAGGCCTTCTTCGTGCCGCTGACAATGTTCTCTATCAAACATGTTAGGAGCGCACTTTGAATTGGCGACATTATGTACTTCCGCCCATTGCCTTCTGGCCGCCTCCTGGTGTTCCTCGTTCTTCTTTTCAAGACCTATTCTCATTAGAGTATGAATAAAATGTGTCCGGACTCTTACAGGATTAAATTCTATCCGACCAGTAGTATTTCCACAACCGTCTCTTGTGCATCCACATGGAAAGTTAAGTCTGTCAACTTGACACTTTATTCCAGCTAAACTACACGAACAACTCTCAGGATTACACGCGCCCTTACAAGAGCATCCACAAAATTCACGAGACGTCCTAATGTCTCTACATTCATCTTTTTCGTAACCTTCAATTTTCCTAACGCCTGCAGCACGCAATAAAGCTCTCCTTTGTCTAGTTGGAATAGGCTGCAGAAAGTAATAACTATCTAGATCTAGTTCTGACTCTGATATATCGCTAGTTTCTTCCTCGGTGTCACTGTCTTCACTCGACGACAAAGATGCGCCTTGCAAAGAATGACGTTCACTCTTTAACTGTTGTAAGATTTGTCTGTGCAATCGTCTCTGTTCTAAAGCATGTTCCGCTAAGGTAAATGTTTGTTCGTGAGTGTGTTCCCATTCCATTCCTAAAGTGGAGCCACCTTGTGATGGGACACAAGTGAACCCTTGAGCTCTAGGGAAGTAATATACCGTTACATTGTCAAACTTAATACTTTCCTTTTTTCTTTTCGCGTGTGGTTCATCCGTATCTTCACTGTAGTGTTTTCGTTTAAGACTACTTTTAAGGGACTTTTGCGATTGCGTTAAAATTGGATGATTACTGCTATTATCAGATTTATCATCTAAAGCTACGCTTATATTATTTTCAACTGGTCTTGATTCTTCTGGAGGTTTGTTGACTAAACCGCTCGTACATGGCAATGATAAATTAAAAGAAGGCGCTTTAGTATCTTCATTTGTTTCGGATCCAATTCCCGAGTCACTACCGTCCGAACGATCTTGAACTTCTTCTTCTCTGTCATTGGGTGCTCCATCAGGAGGTAAGCTACCCAATGCCGAATCTTCACTATCAGCTGACGCTGTATCTGTTTTTATATCTTCGATATCACTTAACGTATCACTATCATCTATTTTTACAGCAAAATCTATTTTACTATCACTACTCTCATAAAACTGAGAGTTGCTATTGCTATTTACATGATTTTGATCTTCATTACTGCTCAAATCACTGTTACCATCACTATCACTGGCTTTTTCGTCTTTTGTCTCACAAAAGGACTCTTGTTCCGTTCCGACTTCTTCAGCTGGTTTTACTTCAAGTTCATTGTTACTATTTGGTTCCTCCCTCTCAGGGAGTTGTTGTACGGCAGGCTCATCCATGACTGAAACAAAGAAAAAGTTCATTAATTTTATTATCCTTCATAAAACTTTAACTGTTTCTAGTAAGAACATACAGTTAAATTGTAACTGCTGTAAGTTAAATTGTGATATTATCCATATACTTTGTAATTTTAAGTAGAGTATGAACTTTGACGTTCAGTGAATCCTAAAATAAAATAAAGTAAGGATATGTACTGTAAAATGAACTGCAGTCCATAACAGTAGGTTTTCGAAGGTTTTTATCGTTGCATAATATTAAATCATTTCGAACAGTCCATTAGTACTATCTATAGGGGCATTTCTCCATTAATTGGAAAATTTCCATCCCCAGCCTTTTCATCATTATAAATATCTATAGGTATTGCTGACTTCAATATATTAAAAACTACAGTATATTAGCTATTCTTGACATATCATAGCTCAAAATCGTAAAATTGTATTAGAATATTCAATTCAATTCACTTCAAATACCCCAATTTACAGTACTCTGTCGTGTCCTATTTCTAAAACTACAAGGTGGCATTACGGAATATCATCAGGAAAGACAATATTCTGAATTAACGTGGTTAATGCTCTGCATAATGGTAGGTTGGATAAGTTAATACTAAAAAAACAGTACCCTGACGTCGTTTTCGAAGAAAATTGGTTAATTAAACAAACTGAAAGAAAATTGTGTGAGTTTTTTGTACACACATTTAATATTTCTTTTTATTGTATATAATTATTTTCTTAACATTTAACATCCATGCTGTAGTTGGTTTTCACAGAGGGTCGGTAACCACAGAGTGATACTTCTGGTATTAGGAGCAGCTGTAGGCCTGGGTAATTTCTTATCATATAATAGGGTGAGCATGCTTAATTCTATAAAAAGAAAGTGCTAGAGGCTAAGCAACAGTGACTATTTCATTCAATACACTTTGAAATTTTAGCGTTGCATTGTATGTATAACATTTAAGGGTTTAAAACCAAGAACTGTACCTTCTTTATCGTCCAGTGACCACGACCGGTGAACCTGGTCGAAAGGTCGAGATAAAGAAGGTACGAAACCTTTAATAAAGTGCGCGACAAACCCGTTAAATGTAATGTTTGTTACATCAAAGATGGTGGGTTGGTTAATCCTCTTCTAGAAAACTATCCTTCAGTCTTACAGTATTTGCAGTATTCTGCTAGAGCTTCATAGGGAATACAATAGGAAAAATAATGATGGTTACTCCGGGAATTAAATATCTATCAGCTATTTTTGCTACTGACTACTAAAAGATGGAGCGTAAATCGTCATTTAGTCTGGCATTGAACAGGAAATATCCTACATTCAAAATTTTGCAAAGGCACTATTAGTACAGTTATTGGGTGAGTAAATATAGTGGTTACCTGGAAAGTTTTCCGGGAGTTTAGAAAATTGGTAATTTTATAAATTTTGAGGTGCTCTTTCCGATTTTCGACTTTGCCACCTCGTAATTTTGCCGCTCGCGCGGACATTGAATTGCATGTGGATCAGGCCTTTTGGGGGTACCACATTAAAAAAACGTGCCACTTACTCTACCTCAAGATGGTGTGAAAATGAGTTTTTTTGGCCAAAATGCGCGTTGGAGTACACTTTGCGGCGCTCGTACGCCAAAACTAATGGCTTTATGAAAAAAAAAATAGATACATAAATTGTAGGCAATTGTATCTAGTTTCATTTTGTTTATTACTGTTTTTATCGTAAAATGATCGGAAAGGAGATAGTATTGTCAAAAAACTGCTTTTAGGCGCCATTTTTCCATTTGGCTGTGTGAGCGGCAAAAATACGAGGTGGCAAAGTCGAAATTTGGAAAGAGTACTTCAAAATCTATAAAATCACCAATTTTCAAGACTCCCGGAAAACTTTCCAGGTAAGACTACCAAATGACTGTACTATATTGCCTTATTTTTATTACTCATTCTTATTAGAAGAGATTTAAGTGAGAGACTCTTGTATGATGTAGAGACAGATGCAAAGGATATCTGCTCTAATTGAAGTTCTTATCTCGGAGAATAACGTCCATCTTTCAGAAAATTGCAAAGAAATAACGCTATTCTGTGTTGGTAGTTCTTAGGGTTCCGTACCTCGAAAGGAAAAAACGGAACCCTATAGGATCACTTTGTTGTCCGTCCGTCCGTCCGTCCGTCTGACGAGTCTTATTTTTCAGGAACGCGTGGAAAAAATCAAACTTCTAAGCTAACGCAATCAAAAGATAGGGCAAATTTTAGAAACTCGCTAGGGAATCAAAACCTACGGGGTTCCTCCCGTGCACTCCGAATCTTGCAATTTGGTACGAAGCAACGTCTTGTAGCACAGATAAAGGAACAATGCGAAAACGGTAAAGTTTTAGTTACATCACATTTTTTTGAACAATTATTATATACGTCTACAGGTTTGTACGGTACCCTTAGTGCGAGAGTTCGACTCGCACTTGGCCCACAATTTTCTATGTAAGATGTATGCCAAACAAAGCATATGGCGCTCCTGATAGTAAAGCCTCGATGACACGGGGCGAGTTTACAAGCTACAAGCCAGCGAGTTTGCTAGCTTGATTGTAAACTTGCCCCATGTCATCGCCTTTTTTACCGTCTGCTACTCGATGATACGGGGCGGGTTTACAAGCTACTAGCAAACTCGCTGGCTTGTAGCTTGTAAACTATCCCCGTGTCATCGTGGCTTAAGTCTGTAGACGTTTGGATACCCTAGGGCATTCTTGCGAGTTGCCTACCCTAACCCTATCCCTAGGCTTTGTAGAACCCTGGAACCTGAAACATTAATCACCGTCAATAACACAACCCTACCCAAAGGTATTGTTACTTCAATGTGGTTTCCTGTAAGGTGGAGGTTAGCTACATCCTTCAAACAAGCCATATGCTTGCTTATTGTAATACTTTTTAAATAAAATATTGACTAAATTTGAGCCAAATGCAATTCCATTATATTCAAGGATATCATAGTAAGCTTTAAGTATTCTGCTTCTTACTTAAAAAATGGATATAATAATTTTAAATTTTATCTCTATTAAAAAATAATAATTGGTAGGTATCTATATTTTTTTATAGAGTAGCACTGGAAAGTTCTACTTTCAACAGGTCAGGACAGGACCATAGAAGAGTTGCTATTTTTTAAATAAGTTACACTTTCGTCAGTGTGTGCCACCTGCACCCTCTTAAACAAAGTAATATAGTACACTGTATTATAAATCAAACAGAATGACAGCCCAAAACCGGTACCTACCTATTTAAAAGTCTGTGGCCTCGACAAGCTTCATCGGTATGTGTGTGCTCCTTTATGAAGTCTCCAGTCCATGGCGATTGCTGAGAAGCCTTTTGATAACCAGCGTTTTATCATAATCACAATGAATCGTCCAATATAATTATAAGTTCACTTTGCCACACAAAAGTCACTCCAGTTGTACCTAACATTAAGGTTTACTTTCAACATAACCACCAGCGCACAGTTGTATTTTAGCCCTATTTATTTATTTTCCGCCTTATTTTGACAGTGATATTCTGGACACTATATAACGTTTGTACACTGTGGTTTTCAACCGAGCACCATTATCGTTTATCAGTATGCACAGGTAAACGACCTTCAAACGGAGATAGAATTTGAAATATTGAGCATAAAAATACACTCGCGCAAAGAGAGCCACTTTTACTACACCAATCTCACAGCTCCCACCTCTCGTAATCGCGTTGGACGACTCGAGCGACGCAGGCAAGTTTTTATGCGGCACAATACTGTGTGCGTCGGGTGAGTTGACTCATCGTATGTTGGGATGCCTTTTAAAATGAGTCGTATAGCAGCTGCGTTGTTCGACGTGACGTTGCCTCGCCCCGCGCTCCCCGCACGCCCCGCCCCGGCCTTGCGTCCCTCCGCACCGCGATCACCCGCGGGCTCGCGCAAGCGCGTTCCGTTTCTTGCGAATGCAGTGATACCACGTTGTAAATAAAAAAATCTTAATACAAAATGATCATTTTATATTGCAGTGAGGAGTGCTGGAATTGAAATTTCATTTAACAATAAGCAGATTCATACGTATTATTATTCCCGTGGTACGACTCTATTATTATCGTGGTATTTTCCATCTCGGTTTTCGGAAAAAAATAACTTGAACGATGATTTCTGTATTTTCTTCATCATCTTAACGGCCTATTAATTTCCCCACTACTTCTAGTTCTAGTACACATATTCCTTGCCTATGGATGGAGTAGGACTTCTGTATTTTAACATTTGATATAATATATTAATACAGGTAGAGACTACATTTTATAATATATAGGTACCTATATCATTTAGTATTTTTTATGAATTATTGTAATATTTACAACTCAATATAATTTTAGGCTTACCTTATTAGATAACAAAACGTTGTATTTTGCTTAAAGCTAAATTGATACTTTAGTTTTAACTTAACGACAGTGGAAAAGGAAAATCGCTCAAATGCCACTTTGGTAACTTTACAGAAACGAGGATCACAGTTTTTTTTTTACAAAAAAAACTCATTTCATTTTGTAAATGAGAAGTAGCGCCATAAAAATAAAAACATATTCATAAAATAATATCTATTAAAAATATGATCTGATTCAAATGATTTAAGTATATAAATCATTTTCGACCAAGGTGGCGTATAAGCGAATTTGCCTCTCCACTGTCGATATCACTTTCCAAATTCCCATAAATTATGGTAGAGCTAGAGTCGGAACACAGGTTCACAACTCACAACCTTTTGCTCTTGGGCCAGCTCGACAGGTCTCGACCGACATAAACTGTATGTACGTCTACGTCATGGTAAGACGGTTTATACATAGGTAGTGAACCCGCCATTATATCTTCCCTGGTATATCTTTTAAGTACATATGTACTCATAGAAGTTATAAATCATGTTGTTGTAGAGCAATGAACTTATATGGGTATTAAACAATAATAGCATGCTTTTGTAGCTATATTTAAAATAACTCACGCTCGCCTTTATAATGATATTGCAAACACGAGATGGCAAAGTAGCGTCATCTCTCTGATACGTAGACAAACTATTTATATTGAACGTAAACATCGCCCCTGATACGTAAGGTAATCGGCCGCTTGGGCTATTTTCGAAGACGTCAACAGTGCACAGTTATTGGCATTATTTTGAATTAGGTGGGTATGTGGTAGTAGTAGGTGGTGAATGTACGTCAGCGACGCGGATGGTACACTAGCTTCACTAGCGTTCTTCAAATAAATTGGCACTCGAAAGCGACATAATACGGGGCGAGGTGGGTATACGTACCAACCGCTGTGTATACGATAATCAATAGATATTTTCAGGAGGCTTTCGTGGAGGGCGAATGCGACGACCGCAGCCCACGTAGCGCCCTCTCGCTCGGCCCTGTAATTTACGTAGAGCATGGAAAATTTTGCGAGATTGCTGCTTAATGATTTTTATGTCATTATTATTAAAAGTGCAGTATATTTATTAAGTGTCGGGTTCATCGTCTACTTATAGATAAATCAATTCCCTTTCAACCAAATCAAAAAACTTAATCATGACAAAAAAACTAACACTTCCGTAAAAGAATATTCGGCGAAAATATGGCACACTTTTCAGGTAGCATCAAAACTTCTTCAAGTTTTTATTGTTTTGTCAAAAAAATATTTAAGTTTATGGTTAAAATCCTATGTATTATGTACTATGTGGTATTACTTATGACAAACAAGATCTTGAGTTTTAAATTTATTTGTTTATTCAATTCGTAAACACGAGAAAATCTTATGATGGTTGAAACTTATTATTTTTATCTAAAATAAAAATAATAACAAGCATCTTTAATCATAATCACTGTTCAATTTATTAAGTTAATATGTAGCAGTATATCATTCACATACTTAGTGCCTACTGACATGATTTTTCATTTAATTATACCTAATAATACAACGAATCACAAGCTAAAAAAATAATAAGCCACAAAAGGTGGATCAGTGATTTTGACATCCGAATAAGACTGGTGAGTTGTAAACAGTTTTGACTACGACAACAATGTGGCAGTCAAGTCAAGATATTTGTTTGGTAGATCCCTCGCTTTACATCACATTTCGTTGCTTTTTTTATCTCACTTCTAACGGTATTCTACGTGCCGGCGGCGGCAGCGGCGACGCGAGCATTGCACATATACCTAGCTGGTAGATATACTGGTAGATATACCTGATGGCGACCAGTTATTCACCACAGCTGTGAATTCTGGTTGTACTAATCGTTCTCATGGTAACCTTAATAAAAAACAAAGTTCCTTAGTGTACCTACAGATATCATTCTACTTATCATAGGCGTGCTGACATGAATAAGTAATTTGCCGGAGTGCTTGTATGTACTGACTGTGTAGTATAGTGGTGTAGCGGCAGGGTGGATGTGGGGGTGGCAGACAGGGAGAGGGTAGATTAAATTTCGTACCACACCGCCCCCGGCTCAAGCTCGCTCGTATTCATCACCTTTAGGGTTGCATTTGCTTCTCAATATACATATAGGTAGGTTTTAAACCCATTATTTATTACCATAATTTATAAGTATGGAATAAATTAAAAATATAAAAATAGGTCGCTTTTCTTGGGTTCTGAAAATAAATAAAAACCGACCGAGTGCGAGTCGCACGAAGGGTTCCGTTTATACACATTAGATACTTTATAATATTGAGCAAAAAAACGGCAAAAAACACGGCAGTTGTATAGGGGCCCCCATTAAATATGTATTTTATTTAAGTGTTTATTTATAAAGTGGATATATAACTTAATGTACTGTAAATATTTTAAGTGTCTATCTATTGCCCTTACTAAAATATTTGCCGTTGCGATTTTTTTTTTGGATGGGAATTCTCATTAAATATTTATTTTATTCTGTTTTTAGTATTTGCTGTTAGAGTGGAAAAATAAATACATAATATGTGAAATTCTCAACTGTCTAGCTGTCATGGTTCATGAGATACAGCCTGGTGACAGACAGTAAGACAGACAGATGGATGTTTGAGTTTTAGTAATAGGGTCCCGATTTTACCCTAAAAACCATAAATTTGATTATAAGATTTGGGTTCTATCACCTTACGCTGCTGTAAAAAGTCTTTTTAAACCTGGTTTGAGGGTTCCTTGCTAAAACTATACCGGACTTAGCAGGCTGCATCTCATGAACATGAATCGCAAGAAGTAGATAGTTTGTAATTTTCATATAATGTTTGTTTCTGTTGCCACTATAACTACATGAAACAAAACTAACCTTAAAAAAAATACATTACATATTATTATTTTGTAATAACGTTACTAAAATCCTGCTTTTTTATACAGGTCCGTTCAGTATAAAGACGTTCAATTATTTTTGTAATTATTGAAATATACATATATCGAAACGTTTTTCCCAACTTTTGTTAGATAGTTTTGCAAAATTGCAGAATACTGGTTGTCAACCTGCCACTACTATTCTCTCCGATTAAAAAAAAACCGGCCAAGTGCGTGTCGTGCCACGAGCAGTGTAGGGTTCCGTAGTTTCTCCACGTCACCACAATATAATTTTTTATTTACTTCGTTAGCCAATTACTTCGTCTAAGTCACTTTTAATGTTTTCTTCTAAGAAATTTTATTTGGTCAGAAATTTTCTAATACCTAAGTTGAACGACTATAACTGAGGAGCTGGCGAACAAACGGTATAATTACGCATCTGGTCAAACTACCTTTTTTACAGTCCGGAGGTTTCGGGCCCGTTGAATTGGAATCTCAAATAATTTTATATACAAATAATGTAGAAATTACCAAATTTTTAAATTAAAAACCATGCCAAAAACTCACTGGAGGTATGTTATTCAGTTTTATACAGCTCCTGTAAAAAATAATTTTATGTAATTATACCGTTTTTTAACAAATCTAAGTTAATTATATTATTTAATATAATATAATTTAACCTGCAACTCCGTCGCCGTCCGTGGTTTGTACGCCGGGTTTCATGGTGTCGCCAACTCTAGAGGTCCCGGGTTCAAATCCCGATGGGGGCAGATGTTTGTGTGATGAATACGTGCTTTTGTACTCCAGTCATGGATGTTTAATATGTATTTCTACAAAAGTATATTATTATATATGTGCAGTATATGTATTCTATCCGTTACCCTAGTATCCCATAACACAAGCCTTATAGTGCTTACTTTGGGGCTAGGCTAATTGGTGTTGGTAATATTTATTTATTTAAGTTCATGAAAAGCATATATCATGATTTTTTCCAGGTTTTTCAAGCCTGGTGACACCAGTACCGCGAGCTCATTGCGGCGCTGGGATGCGGAGCCCTCTCGCTGCGAGGACGTTATCTCGCAGAAGGAGGCGGCTGAGAGGGAGCGGGAGGATGATCCTCTGGCCGCTCCCTCCCGCCAAAGGAGGACGGGTAGGAGAGGACGGCGGCGCGCCCTGGCTGCGCCCGTCCCATGACCCTACCCGGGGATCCTTCGGTGACCGGCATGGCGCCAGCGGTGCCGGCCACCGACGGACCCCGTGACGGCAGTCTCCTCTTGTAGTTCTGTCCTATGAGAGGGAGCGGCGAGAGGACCTGCGATGGGCACGCCCAGGCAGTCCCCCGCAGCGGACGGGGAGTGGTGTGGTGGCCACTAGGCCGCACACTTGGTTCGGCCGCACACGGGGTCCCCGCGTTACCCCGGGAGACCCCTGCCGTGGAGCCCCGCCTAGGCCGGGGAGGCTGCAGGGTGCGGAAACGCGGAAGAAAACATATTTTGATAGAGAAAACAGTTCATATTTACCTGTTTAGTAAGTAACTTGTTTATCTTCACTAAGTACGCTTTGACGTTTCAAATTTTAGTAATTTTACACATTTGACAATGACACCAATATCGATTCGAATAGTTTGCGAGTCCGAAATGTCATTGTATGGAAACTTGAACAGCAGCGCCGCAAAGTACGTAACGAGAACTAAAAACGAGTACACATTTGACAGTGACATTTCGGACACACAAACGTTACGAATTCGATATTGGTTCGTGCTAAGGGTCTCCACGAAATTGATAAGAGATCATTCTCGGAAGAAAACAGAATAAAAGTTAATTCATTATCATCGGTGAATAGTAAAAGAAAAGCCATAACATAATGTTGGAACTAGTTTCCCTCCGATTGACCAAGGACCAACATCCAACAAATATGCACTTGACAAGCAACGAAATGCAAATTCCCATATGATCATTTTTTTATCGATTAAAAATAAATTATGATTATAACACTCTTCAATTATATTATCCCAAATCCTAGGTAAATAGCCAAATAAAGCACTTGTATTAAGAAAATCGCTCAAGCTCTTTAGCTAAGGTTATGACCACTCTACAAGGAGCCTCAACATCTTAGTTTTTTTTCCAAAAAGCACAAGGAAAGCATCTACTTTGATATATGTTTAACTTATGGCAATCAGATATATTTTTTATTGACAATCTTAATTCTGCTAAATATACTTTTTAAAGATTTATATTCCTACACGCAAAAACGGCTCAATATGTTAGAATATAATTTACCACAGAGATATTATAGGTACCTTGTATTGAGGCATAGGATACTTGATATCCCGGAAAATGTTAAGTTGCCATGGAATACTCAAAAACCTAGCTACTACCTTATCCAGGTGTTGATATTTTGGAAGTTTATTCCACTAAAACCTTCTCAAGTAATATTTTGAATGCCTTTTATTCATACAAAATTTGCCTTGCAAAAGTATCATGTGTATCAAAAACCACACTTTTTTCAGCTTCTTTCTTGATTTAAAAAATGCATTATTTATGAATAAAACTAGAAGTAAATGAAAAAGTAGAAGATGTAGTGGATTTTCTCTGTTCAATACGAGGAGGGTTCCTGAGGATGAATTTCCACTTAACGGAAAAGTAGTGAAATAACCTCGTGGGTTTTGTGTTTCTGCTGGAATATGTTTTCAAGACTCCATGTGGTACGGGAGTGGGATTGTTCAAGCAGGCAAGACTTAGCTGGTTGGAACAACACACTTCTCTGCCGCTTCAGCTATCTTCACGAATTCTCAGACAGGTGGTGTATGAAAACAATAATCTTACCGAAAACTGAGGCCCACTTTCACCAAAGTGCTTTATTCAAAGATAATCATGTTGAAGCCTCATTCTCTCTATTTGACTTTAAACAATTTGTTAAAACTGCAAAGATGTGTTAAACAGAGGTTAAACATGATTAAATTTAGAACTTTGGTGCAAGTGGACTTAGGTCCATCGGATCGGATGAAACAATACAGAATAGAAATCTCAATTTTAATTATGTATATTGTAGGTATATAAGTAGTGACATTAAAAAAATGCTTATATACAGGATGGCCAAAATATTCAATAATACGTCAGGTACGTCCCCCCTCCCCCTCTAAAAGCTAAGCTATTGGCTTGAAAAACCTTTTTTTTGTTAACGCAGGCAAAACCTCTGTTTACAGACGACGACGCCTTTAAGAGGCATACCGCCGAACGGACCTCACATCTGGTTCCCGCAAGATTTACGGCCCCCGCAGTGGTTGCCCACCGAGGACCCCGTAACTCCTCCCGGCCTAGGCCGGGGAGGCTGCAGGGTGCGGAAACGCGGAAGAATCCCTAAACGGGGATGCCGTGGATTCACACTAAGCAGCTTAGAGGGTATTCGCAGGGGTTTTTAGCGGATTTTATGCCGTAAAGCGCCCGTCAGAGTTACGGGGTCCTCGGTGGGCAACCACTGCGGGGGCCGTAAATCTTGCGGGAACCAGATGTGAGGTCCGTTCGGCGGTGTGCCTCTTAAAGGCGCCGTCGTCTGTAAACAGAGGTTTTGCCTGCGTTAACAAAAAAAAGGTTTTTCAAGCCAATAGCTTAGCTTTTAGAGGGGGAGGGGGGACGTACCTGACGTATTATTGAATATTTTGGCCATCCTGTATATAAGCATTTTTTTAATGTCACTACTTATATACCTACAATATACATAATTAAAATTGAGATTTCTATTCTGTATTGTTTCATCGGATCCGATGGACCTAAGTCCACTTGCACCAAAGTTCTAAATTTAATCATGTTTAACCTCTGTTTAACACATCTTTGCAGTTTTAACAAATTGTTTAAAGTCAAATAGAGAGAATGAGGCTTCAACATGATTATCTTTGAATAAAGTACTTTGGTGAAAGTGGGCCTCAGTTTTCGGTAAGATTATTGTTTTCATACACCACCTGTCTGAGAATTCGTGAAGATAGCTGAAGCGGCAGAGAAGTGTGTTGTTCCAACCAGCTAAGTCTTGCCTGCTTGAACAATCCCACTCCCGTACCACATGGAGTCTTGAAAACATATTCCAGCAGAAACACCAAACCCACGAGGTTATTTCACTACTTTTCCGTTAAGTGGAAATTCATCCTCAGGAACCCTCCTCGTATTGAACAGTGAAAATCCACTACATCTTCTACTTTTTCATTTACTTCTAGTTTTATTCATAAATAATGCATTTTTTAAATCAAGAAAGAAGCTGAAAAAAGTGTGGTTTTTGATACACATGATACTTTTGAAAGGCAAATTTTGTATGAATAAAAGGCATTCAAAATATTACTTGAGAAGGTTTTAGTGGAATAAACTTCCAAAATATCAACACCTGGATAAGGTAGTAGCTAGGTTTTTGAGTATTCCATGGCAACTTAACATTTTCCGGGATATCAAGTATCCTATGCCTCAATACAAGGTACCTATAATATCTCTGTGGTAAATTATATTCTAACATATTGAGCCGTTTTTGCGTGTAGGAATATAAATCTTTAAAAAGTATATTTAGCAGAATTAAGATTGTCAATAAAAAATATATCTGATTGCCATAAGTTAAACATATATCAAAGTAGATGCTTTCCTTGTGCTTTTTGGAAAAAAAACTAAGATGTTGAGGCTCCTTGTAGAGTGGTCATAACCTTAGCTAAAGAGCTTGAGCGATTTTCTTAATACAAGTGCTTTATTTGGCTATTTACCTAGGATTTGGGATAATATAATTGAAGAGTGTTATAATCATAATTTATTTTTAATCGATAAAAAAATGATCATATGGGAATTTGCATTTCGTTGCTTGTCAAGTGCATATTTGTTGGATGTTGGTCCTTGGTCAATCGGAGGGAAACTAGTTCCAACATTATGTTATGGCTTTTCTTTTACTATTCACCGATGATAATGAATTAACTTTTATTCTGTTTTCTTCCGAGAATGATCTCTTATCAATTTCGTGGAGACCCTTAGCACGAACCAATATCGAATTCGTAACGTTTGTGTGTCCGAAATGTCACTGTCAAATGTGTACTCGTTTTTAGTTCTCGTTACGTACTTTGCGGCGCTGCTGTTCAAGTTTCCATACAATGACATTTCGGACTCGCAAACTATTCGAATCGATATTGGTGTCATTGTCAAATGTGTAAAATTACTAAAATTTGAAACGTCAAAGCGTACTTAGTGAAGATAAACAAGTTACTTACTAAACAGGTAAATATGAACTGTTTTCTCTATCAAAATATGTATTTCTAATAGATTGTGTGATATTTATTGATTAAAATAATCACCACGAGACAGACGTTACGTATAATAGTTGTACCACTACTGCTTATGTAACGGTATTGATAACCGTGCCAGCCTTAACGTCCGGCCTTGTTATTACATTTTGAACTCTAAGTCACTTGCAATAGAGCATCAGTAGTACTCTCAGCAAAGATACCAGAAAACCGACACAATCAAATTTATTTATTTTTTACTTTGAAACATTATTTGCAATCTTTGTTCTGAATCCAACTCGAAGTTGGGTATAAACGAAGTTCATTAATTCAATAACCTCCGCAGCGAAGTGTATTAGCTTGGATAGTATTAGTGTAGCGTAGTAGTAGTGTGTGTATTAGTGTAGTGTAGTATAGTAAGCGAATACACCGGTTTTCAAGGTGTCGCCTGCTCAAAGAAGACGTCTTGGGTTCGTATCCAGATGGGGGAAATGTTTGTATAACGAATACGAGCTTTCTACCTATTTGATGTTTATATACGAGTAAATACAGAATTATACGTATTTGGGTATCATTAAATGTATTTTATTCATTACCCTAATATAACATATCGCAAGCCTTTAAGTGCTTACTTTGACGCCAGGCTGATTGGCGTTAAGTGTTTACTTTGACGTTAGGTTGAGGGTAAGAAACATTTTTGGTTATACTTGACAGCTTAAACCAACCTGAAAAATTGGGGTAAATTAGAATTTTCAAAATTGTTGTACTTAGAACTTGACTAAAGAAATTTTTACTTTGACTTTGAATAGGCATTCGGGTCTTGAGCGATGGTAAATACTCTTATGAAAAATCCATTTTTTCACGATTGCAAAAGTCAGTCGATCAATCCCCATATTTGATGGAGAATTTATTCATAATCTGTTTTTCTAAGCTTTTTCGTCACTCGGTTGGAAATAGACAAAGAAAGATAAAAATAGATGTTCAATCAGTTTCGCGTCGTCTGTTACTCATTCAACCTAATTCTTACTAAGAATGTGGATGTTCACAACTCACGTAAATAGATCTCTATACCGGATTGGGGACGCAGGACGAAAGTAAAATAAACAGGGATAATGACAAACTTTTTTTTCTTTGTCTATCAGGTAGATATTATTAAAAAGTCGTATTTTCATATTTTTAATTTTTGTCTCATAATCAAAAAATCATCATCACACAGAAACAGAGATATATTGATTAAAAATGTCGCGTGATGTCACATTTTCTTACAATTGTTGATAAAAAAATTGTGTGCAAGGACCACACATCAGTACCCCTAGCACGAACTATTATCGAATTCGAATAGTTTGCAAACCGAAATGTCAATGTCAAATTTTCTATGGAAACTTGAACAGCAGCGGCACAAAGTACGTAACGACAACTAAAAATCAGTACAAATTTGACAATGACATTTCGGACTCGCAAACGTTACGAATTCGATATTGGTTCGTGCTAAGGGTACTGTACCCCTAGCACCAACCATTATCGAATTCGAATAGTTTGCAAACCGAAATGTCAATGTCAAATTTTCTATGGAAACTTGAACAGCAGCGGCACAAAGTACGTAACGACAATTAAAAATCAGTACAAATTTGACAATGACATTTCGGACTCGCAAACGTTACGAATTCGATATTGGTTCGTGCTAAGGGTACTGTACCCCTAGCACTAACCATTATCGAATTCGAATAGTTTGCAAACCGAAATGTCAATGTCAAATTTTCTATGGAAACTTGAACAGCAGCGGCACAAAGTACGTAACGAGAACTAAAAATGAGTACACATTTGACAATGACATTTCGGACTCGTAAACGTTACGAATTCGATATTGGTCCGTGCTAAGGGTACTGAAGTAAAACTTCTTTTCTTAAGAGCCCTTTTACATTTATGCAAAAAATCGTAATTTTTGAGCGCCTCGTTTACCCCCTTAGAAAAGATTTTGACTATTTCCAATATAAGTAAACAGTAGATTTATTCTTCCTATTGTCACTTAATCTAGAATATTTGCAAATACTATTTTCTTTTTTTTGTACTGATCGTTCCACTGCAGCTAGTTTACGAAAAAACGTAATCTCAATAATGTTCAATAAATTAGATCAAATTAATTACTACGATATCAGAAATATGTTTTTGTTGTAACATAAGGTATTAGAATTTTGATTTTCTATTTCATTAATTATTAACAAAACATCTAACCTCCTTGAGTTTTTCCAAAAAATAATGCAGGTTTACCTCGTATTTTGATATTGAATTAAATAGAATAACTATCAAAAACTTTCATTAAACTAATCTACCATCATTGAATTACTGAAATATGTATATATTTTATAATTAGTTCATTAATAATTATTTTATAAGACGGGTGCATTTTACGGGTGATGTTTCGACATCACCCGTAAAACGCAATATACAGGACGTCCCACGGCTACCGCATACGGAGGGAAAGTATATTAAATATTAAAGATAGAATATTTTACTGAAAGAAGACATCATTTCATTCTTGATAATAACTAGAACTGCATTCACAGATTTTTTAAAAATCGACTGCTACAACTGGGAATCAAACTCGTGAAATTTCGAAAAAAGAATACGACATATTTCATGATAACCATCGAAAGGGTTTATCATAAAGATTATTTTTACTTATTAACATAGCATTTTAAATGAAAGGAATGTCTTATTACGTGATAAAAATAATAAAGTGTAAACAAACTGAAGTACGTATGCATTTCTTTTTGAACTCAGTTTCAATGCGATTGGCTGAAATTTATAAAAATAATAATTTGAAAATAGAACACATACATTTTCAAGCGTCTGTACCCCTAGCACGAACCATTATCGAATTGGAATAGTTTGCGAGTGTGAAATGTCAATGTCAAATTTTGTATGGAAACTTATACAGCAGCACCACAAAGTACGTTACGAGAAATAAAAATCAGTACACATTTGACAATGACATTTCGCACTCGAAAACTATTCGAATTCGATATTGGTTCGTGTTAAGGGTACTGTTCTTTTTTTTGTGTTTTTCATTTTAGTTAAATACTGGGTTCTCTTAATATATTTTTACAAAGGGAATCTAAATACGGAAAGATATCTAGAAATACTTTATATTTTAAGAGGTGAGATCAATAATCTTCCTGGTGCAAATCGACGAAATCTCATTTTCCAGCAAAATGGGACTATTAAGAGAACTCATAAGTAGGAGAACTGCCGAGTTTCTTAATAACACTGCTTCCCGGATCGGTTCTTATGGACAAATAAGATGGCCAGCGAGATCCCCAGATCTTACCCCACTGGACCTTTTTGGTGGGGTTATGTAACAGATGTAGTATACAAGAACCGGTAAGACAGTGAGTTACAATAATGAAATCGTCAGGCAGAGAAAACATTAATAGAGTGAGAATTTGCATACAACAAATCGGATCACATTTTGAACATTTGATACATTTCGTTTTTTATTACTTTTTGTTGAATATTTTTAATAAAATGTGTAATTTTATGATTTTTCTTTCATTTAAAATGCTATGTTATTTAGCAAAAAATAATTGTTATGCACTCTTTCGATGGTTATCATAAAACATGTAATGTTTTTTTTATTTTTCGAAATTTCACGAGTTTGATTCCCCGTTTTAGGAGGCGATTTAAAAAAAAACTGAATGCAGTCCTAGTTATAATTAAAAATAAAATGATGTCTTCTTTCGGTAAAATATCCTATCTTCAATATTTAATATACTTTCCCTCCGTGTGAGGTACCCGTGGGACGCCCTGTATACTAGTGCAAATCGACATACGCGCAGACCAGCAACGGCGCAGTTTTGTAAAAGGCTCTTAAATAATCTAACATTAGGCGGTGAATGGAGCCCCGTGTGCATTAGGGCTGGGCTGCCATCGGGCGCGTCTCCCGGGTGGCGGATACTACTGGCTTCGGCAGCGTGGACCAACACCAGCCACATCGCGTAACCCCGTACGTAGTGCGGGGCCAAGGGTCACCGACTTCTTCGGAGAGCAGAAAATCACCCAGGAGAATGAAATGCGAGCAGCGCACGCAGCAGTCATATATATGAATATATATATTTATTGCCGCGTATGACGCCCGTAGCGTTTCAACCTTCGCCGAGATACCCTCCAACTTCCATGCTTGTGCAGGGAAAAGTTGCGCACGTATCCCACACATATTTATTTTGAAAAGTTTTGGTTGATTGACGAAATAAAAAGTAGGTGGCCGTTATTTTTTGATAATAATTTAACTGACGGACTAAATATAATTGCGTTTACTGTACTGTACTGTACCCCTTCATCATCCCTATTGGCTACAGTTTTGATGTGATGTGACCTCTATTGCAGGAGAGTGTGATAGTGACCTCGAGGAGCTCGATGGCGCAAGTGGTTAGCGCGTTCGGCTGCGATCGTTTAAGTTAAGCAACTTTCGCAGTGGTCGGTCATTGGATGGGTGACCAAAAATTTACTATCTCGAGTTCCTCCGTGCTTTGGAAGGCACGTTAAGCCGTTGGTCCCGGCTGCATCTGCAGTCGTTAGCACGCGCCAATCCGCACTGGGCCCGCGTGGTGGGTCATGGCCCAATCTCCCTTATCCATCCATAGGGAAGGCCTGTGCCCCAGCAATGGGGACATTAATAGGCTGATGATGGATGATGGTGATAGTGGCCTACTCAGTGGCAAATAGTAATTTTTAATATGCAACGTTGGTCAGCAGTTGTATGAACTTTGTTAGTCTATAAGTGCCTCTAAGACATATATTCTATCCCCAAATTATGGCGTTATCTTTTTGGTTTTTATTTTATTTTCTTAGCCTATTTATGTGTAGTTTTTTTTTCTTTGTCTGTCATAAACAATTTGCTGTAGGTACATATGACATTGCTGAAGTTAGTAATGGGGCACTGTTACATCCATTAGAAAAGAGCTAGATTGTTCCCTATTTACAGGGACCAAAGAAGCGTTAGTTTTTCGCTAGCCAAATAAAAAAAAGTTTGTGAAAAAATACAATCCGGTTTTATTAAAAAATGAGTGTCTTCCTCAAGTAGTGAGAATGAAAGCTTCTGCTAAAAATATGTTACAATAGTTATTTATGATATTAGTGTGGTAAGTTGGTTATTATAAAAGAGTAGACAAATGTAAGACCGAGACGCTTGTCATAGACACGAGTTTGTAAGTACCAATCCCGCACGAATGTCATACAACATTTTTTAACACATTAGCGAGAAAACAGTATATCTACCTAATTTAAGTAAGTAACGAAGAAAACATCGTGCGGTAAAGTGTTTACAGCACACTCCTTTGTATGGCCCGTAATTTTAAACTTTCGAACAATGTATACAACCTCCGTAAATGCATATTTGAGCAAATGTGTTAAAAAGTATATTACCTACAAAATCCCGCGAACAATATACACTTCCGGAGATATCTATTGGCCCACTAAGTGTAATACGTTGCAAAGGTCTGTGGCAAAAATATTATTAAGTTAAATTGAGCAATAATAATATATTTTTAAGAACACACGAAAGAGATGGTAAATATCTCAGATTCAAAACTGCGTAAAACTATTTTCTCAATATAACATTTATTTTTAGTTAGGCCTTCAAAATCATTTAGGTAAAAACTTAAAATGCTCGGTGGTCCGGATAAATTTTTCCGGGAGTATATAAAAGCTTTAGATATGCTATAAGATAAAAACATATAAAAATTTCATCTTTTAGAAAAATCCTTTTCAGAAAATGTCTAAAAACACATTCTTGTTGTTCTTGTAGGTATGTAAATAAATAACCGTTCTTTTATTCCATGTTCGTAGTTGCAATTATTTATTTTCTTAAAGAGGGTGATGAAAAGTGGAGGGTCCACCTCGGGAGAAACCCTATTTTAAAGCTTTAGCACAAAGGTTCCCAAACTTTTTCGGTTGT